AATGCAGCAGCCCAATAACATGCTCCTAAATAATCAATGGATCAGTGACCAAATAAAAACAGAGATCAAGGCTGTTTCACCTTGAACTCAGGGCCGCAGAATTCCTGGGGCTCACCTGCTTCCTGGGAGTCCTCCTGCACCCCTCTGCTGCATCCCCATCCCCTCTTTCTAAAATAACTAGATACGATCCCTCACTCCTTCAACTCCTACGCTGTTCCCTTTCCAGCTCCTGTGCCCACCTGAATGCACACAACTCTGCAGGGCAGAACTGTCTCTCTGCCACGCTCCGGGTCCTCCTCATCTGCTCACTGTCCCCTCCCCTCTGGGTTTCCCAAAGTCATCACTTCTCTACATGTTTCTTTGCTTATTTATTGTCTTTTATTGGCTGTAAGCTCCATGGTTTCGGCTATTTGACTCACTAACGTGTCCTTACCCTTGGAACAATGCCTGGCTCACAGTGGGCACTCAATAAATACTTGTTGGATTGGTAAACCACCAAATCAATGGGAGGAGGGAGACTCCATGCATTTAATGGGAAGGAGGCAGGAGGAAAGGTGTGTGCCCTAAATTTCTTGCACTGGGCAGAAGGTTCATGAGGGCAGAGGTGTCTTTTCACTCCCCCTAAGTCCCCAGCACCCAGCCCCGTGCCTGGCACACAACAGCTCCTGTAAAAGTGTGTTGATTGGCTGGGTGCCTGCTGATTGCCCAAGCCAGCACCTTATTGCTCCCAGTACCTTTTTCCATCTCTACTAGACTTGGGTGAAAGGTGCTATCCCTGGACCTGCCCTCAACCCACCTCTGTATTCTATGTCCCTTTCACATATGCCCACAGTGGCCTGGGTTAAGAGTCCTGACATGGCCTCATACATGGCTGCCTGCCCCCTGCAATGGGCAGAAACTTCCTGTCCCTTCTCTGCCCTCAGAGGATACCCAGGTTGTCTAGCCTAATGATATGTTGTGAGTGGTCCAAAAATCCCACCTGTAAGCCTATGACATAGTTGGTGCTCAGTAAAAATGTGCTGGATGTTAGTTAAAAGAATGTTGACATTCATTCTGACAGAACAGTAATTTGGACTATATTGTGTTTACTCATTCATTCATTCATTCCACAAATGTTCACTGTAGCATTGACCCTTAAGCTTACATCTTTGGGCTCATGTACACGTTCTTAAGTAGCACAGACTCCTTAAAACGAAAGGTTTAGGTCAAAATGTATATTCACTTACAACAATTTTATGCATCAATTTCATTGAGGTATAATTAATATACAGTGAGATTTACCAATTTCAAATATACACTTTGGTGTGCTTAACAAATGTGTATAGTCTTGTAACTGCTAACATTGTCATGACGTAGAATGCAGAATGCTGCATTGTTCTGTTAAATAAATTTGCTCATGCCACCCAAAAGGTTTGCTTGTGCCGCTATGCAATCTCTTCCCCCACCCCCTGACCCTAGAACCACTTGAGATGCTATCACTAATGCAGAAATATCTATTTTCATTTCTCTTAGGTAATCTAAAGTGGGATTGCTAGGTCATATGGTAAATGTATGTTTAACTTTATAAGAAACTACCAAACTGTTTCCCAGCATGGATATACCATTTTGCTTTCCCACCAACAATTTTTGAGAGTTCTAGGTGCTACATATCCTTGTAACTACTTGATGTGGTCAGTCTTGCAAAGTTTAGCCATTCTAGTGTTGTAGTACCCTCTTGCTTTCATTTGCATTTATCTAATGATTAATGGTGTTGAGCATATTTTCAGGGGATTATTAGCCATCCTGCTACTTTTTTGATAAACTGTCTGTACAAATTTTTTGCCAATTTCTGTATTAGCTTTTATATCTTCTTCTTGAGTTGTAAGAGTTCTTTATGTATTCTAGGTATGAGTCTTTTGCCAGAAACATATGTTTTACAGGTATTTCCTCCCAAACTGTGCTCTTAACTTTTCATTTCCTTAACAGTGGCTTTTGAACAGCAAAAGTGTAATTTTGATTAAGTTCAGTTTACCAATATTCTCCTTTGATAGTTCATGTTATTTGTGTCCTATTTAAAAATTTTTGCCTAACTTAACATCACTAAGATTTTTTTCCTATGTTTTCTTCTAAAAGTTTTATAGTTCTAGGTTTTCTATCTAGGTCTATGCTATATCTCAAGTTAAGTTTTATATGTGATACAAGGTAGGGGGTGAGTTTTTGTTTTGTTTTTGAACATATGGATATCCAATTGCTCCAGCACCATTTTTGAAAAGATTGTCTTTCTCCCTTGAACTGTCTTAGTACCTTTATTGAAAATCAATATAAATATGTCATTTTACTTCTGGTATCCTAGTTTATTGATATGTCTATCTTTACACCAATTCCAAATTATTTTAGTTATTGTAGCTTTATATTGAGTCAAAATCAGGTAGCAGAAGTCCTTCAACCTTGTTCAACCTTTTCAAGGTTGTTTTGCTTATTCTAGATCTTTTGAATTTTCAAATAAATTTTGGAACCAGTTGTCAATTTCTACAAAATGTCTACAGCTATTTTGATTGGAATGGCATTGAATCTATAGATCAATTTGAGAAAAACTGATCACAGAAGTCTAACTCTCCATTTATTTATTTATCTTGGCAATGTTTTATAATTTTCAGTGTACAGGCCTTGCCTGTTTTTTCAATAAATGTTGTCATGCATTTGATATTTTCAATGCTATATAAGTAGTGTTTAATTTCCATTTCTGATCGTTTACTGTTAGTATTTAAAAATGCAGTTGTTTTTTGCATATTGACTTTCTAGCCTAAACCCTTGCTAAACTCAGTAGTTGTAGCTTTTTTGTGGATTCCTTAGGATTACCTACATAGACAATCATGTTGTCTGTGAGTAAAGACGGTTATAGATGTTCCTTTACAATCTGTATAGCTTTCTTTTCTTGCCTTACTGACATTGCCAGGGCTTGGCAGTACAATTTTGAGTGGAAGTGAAGAAAGCAGACATCTTTGTCTGGCTTGTAATCTTAGGAGTTGTAATTAATCAGCACAAGATTGTTCGTAATACCCCCGTTATTATCCTTTTACTGTCTGTAGAATCTATAGGATGTCACCTCTCTCAATCGTGATATTGGTAATTTGTGTCATTTTCTTTTTATTTCCTGATCAGTTTGGTTGGTTGCTGATTTTATTGAGAACCAGCCTTGGTTTCATTTTCTCTACTGTTTTTCTGTTTTCTATCTCGTTGATTTCCTCTTTGGATTTTATTATTTCCTTTAGTTTGCTTATTTTGGGTTTGATTTACTCCCCCTAATTTCTTAAGGTAGAAGCTGAAAACATAGACTTGAGACCTTTTATCTCTTGTGATATAGGCATTTAATGCTATACATTTCCCCAAAATGCTTCCTTAGTAGAATCCCAAAACTTCTTATACGTTGTGTTTTCATTTTTATTCAGTTAAAAATACTTTCTTCTAATTTCCCCTATGATTTCTTCCTTAATCCATTAATTGTTAGAAGTCTTTTATTTTGTTTCCAAATATTTGGGAAGTTTCCAAGGATTTTTATCTGATTGATTTCTAAGTTAATTCTATTCTGGTCATAGAAATACTTTATGTGACTTTAATTTTTAAATTTATTGGTACATTGTAAATGGAATTGTTTTCTTGATTTCACTTTTGGATTATTCATTGCCAACGTATAAAAATGCCCCAGATTGTGTCTATCTTGGCATATGTTCTGTGCACACTTAAGATAAATATGTATTCTGCTGTGTTGGGTCAAGTGTTCTACAGTATTGCTCAAATCAACAACATCCTTGCTGATTTTCTGACTACTTCTATCAATCAATGAGAGAGGATTATTGAAATCTTGACTATTACTGTGGATTTGCCTGTTTTTCCTTGCAGTTCAATCTCTTTTTGCTTGTAATTTGAAGCTCTGCTGTTCAGTGCATAAACGTATATAGGGTTAGTATATGTCTTCTTGACTGACTCCTTTATCATAAGAAAATCACTTTCTTTAACACTAGTGATAGTCTTTGTTCATAAATTTACTTTGTTCAATGTAAGGAAAAAAGACTCAGGTTTCCATCCTAAAGCTCAGGGCCTATGCAAGCAAGAGTTAAGTCCATAGCCAGTGTCAGCACAAGTGCTACGTGCCGTGATGGGGGAAGCAAAGCACAAAACATTGTGGGAACACATGGACTGGGCCCCCATCCCACCTGTGGAGGTAGGCAATGCTTACTATGATGATACTTGAGGAGAAAGCCGATCCTAGAGAGAGGAAAGGCCTATACAAAAGGTGAGGGTCCTACTTGGAACATTGCATATATGATATATCTGTGGCCCCCACAAATAGAGCATATACCTGAAGCGCAAAGAGTGGGGAGGAGAGGCAAGATGTGAGCTAAGGTGTCAGAATCTTACCAATTCAGGTCAACAGGTGATTGAGAAGGTGACTGAGAAAGCACAGGAATTTAGTCAGACAGTCCTGAGGACAATTCCAGGAGAGGTCTCGTTAAATTTCTGAACCTCAACTGTCGCACGTATAAAATGAGGATACCACCACCTAGCTCATAAACTTTAGTGATAGATGGTTAAATGAGATGACGGAGAAAAACGCAAGGCACAAAATGGGTGCACGTGCTCCATTCTGTCAATGAGTGGACTGGGTTGGCCGCGACCGACACACAAATTGAAAAACAGGACAGACCCAAACCAGGGGCTGCTATGGCAATGGCCCGGAGCTGAACCATACAAGTACCTCCATCACGGGGAGGTGTGCGGCATGCGACGTAAAGTCATTATTTTTGCAAATGACGCTCTCACCCCAACATTAGCCATAATTAAAAAGTCTGCCTTCTCAGTCCCAGACACACCAAGCTGCCCTCCCTTTCGCTGCGCGGCAGACGTTCCCACAGGGCATACACTGAACACGCGCCCACGGGCTGCGCCTTCGCCAAATTCTACGCACTGGGGTTGGCCCTAGCTCTAGGCAACACTGCTTTCCGCCCTTAGCAACCGCTCACCTGCTTGTCTCTTCTTATAGGCCAGCAAATTTCCTTTCTTTTTCTTAGTGGTCCGCGTAACTCTATCTCGGCCAATCAGTAGCAGCCACGGACCCAAATCGCCCCCACACAATTTGGGGGTGATACGCAGGAGATAAATTTTTCTTTTCTAAATACAGCTCTCCCTGAAGGCATCTAATTTATCAACCTGTTGTGAATCCTCCTGGAACGAGACTCTAAACCATTTTCTTTCTTTCAGGCCTGTAATGTCTGCCCCTCGCATACTTCCACGTCTAAGTGGTACGGCCGGCCGGAAGATCCACCTTCCCGCCGCTCTGAGAGCCGGAGTCCTCCGCTAAATTGAGGCCCCTCAGCGGCAGAGACGATACCATCCGTGACAAATAGATAGGGGGATTCTACCCAGCCCCCGCGTTGCCCTATTCCACTCCGATCACCTCTCGCATAAACCGTAGGCACAAGCCCCAGATACGATGGTGGGATTACTCCTCCCGGCACCATGGAGGGTGCGCGACGCGGGCAGGCGAGGGTGCACTTGGTACGGTCCACGCCGCGCCCGCGCCGCCGGAAGTGAGGTGTCTCACCCCCAAAGTTCCGGCTCGCAGGGGGTGGGGAGTGTTGTTAACCGGGGCCGCCTCCGCAGTCGTGGGGATTGAGCGGGCTCGTGGCGCGGGGCTCCTGGTGAGTGGTCTGGGGTCAGGCCTGGGTTGTGGTTGGAGTCGGGACCTGGACCTCCCCGTTGAGGTCCCCACAGTGGGCGCGCCCCCTCAGCCCCGCTGCCCGCTTTTGGCCTGTCAGCTGGCAGTAGACAGGCGCCCGCGCAGCCGCGCTCGCAGAGGCTGGGCCCTGCCTGCGACGTTTGCACCTCCTGGCGCTAACAGGTGCGCGGCCACGGGGACGACCCGAGCTCTTCGCGGACGGCGGTTTCTCCCGTGCCCGGAGTTGACCCTGCTCCGGGGGCTGGGGGGGGCGCCAGGGTTCCAGGGCGCGCCTCGTAACTGCCCACCCTGGCATTGCTGCCACTGGCCCTGTCGCCTGCCCGGCTGCGCCCCCAAGCGCCTTGACTTCTTCCAGTCCTGGCCGCACGTCCCGCTCCTGGAAATTTTTGCTTTTGCATCCATCCGATCACCTCCACTTTGGGGTCAGGGGTGACAGTTCTCCCCCTCCTCCAATTTTGTCGCCTTTCTTCATTCCTTCATAGAGGCTACGGTTTGTCAGGCAGCGTGGAAAGAGCCTTCGATTTGAAACAAGACGGATCAGGCTTAAAGCCTTGTGTCAATGTGTTCACTTAACCCTGCTGAGTCTTGTTTTCTTATTTGTAAGGTGGGGGAGCCTGTGCTATTGGTGTGATGATTGTGAGGATGACGTGAGGTGTTTTCTTCTTTCTCCTACTTACTGACGCTGCGTTTTAGGCGCTATGTTAGGTTTTCACGGTGTGGGCATCGCGCAAGTTATTTCCTCTCCTTTCCCCATGCAGGGCGCCAGGCCAGGGCAATGTTCCGCACCGCAGTGATGATGGCGGCCAGCCTGGCGCTGACAGGGGCCGTGGTGGCTCATGCCTACTACCTCAAGCACCAGTTCTACCCCACGGTGGTGTACTTGACCAAGTCCAGCCCCAGCATGGCAGTGAGTTCAGGGCTCAGGGAGGGAGGAACTGCCTGGGAGGGAAGGAGGAGTCTGCTTGAGACAGGGGCGGGGCTAGAGGTCAGGTAAGTAAGTAGGAGAGACGTTAAGGAGCTACCAGCTGCCTAACTTTGAATAAATTCTGATGGGGATGTGGGGGGGCTCCTGGATGATGAGTCCCAGGCAGAGCAAAGCGGAGGGAGACCTCAAACAACAGCCTCTCCTCACTCCTAGGTCCTGTACATCCAGGCCTTTGTCCTTGTCTTTCTCTTGGGCAAGGTGATGGGCAAGGTTTTCTTTGGGCAGCTGAGGGCAGCAGAGATGGAGGTAAGATGTTTGTGACCCAAAGGTGAGGGGCAGAGAGCTGGGCGAGCAGAATATCTGATTCCACGTCATTCCATGCCCAAACCCCAGCACCTTCTGGAACGTTCCTGGTATGCTGTCACTGAGACTTGTCTGGCCTTCACCGTCTTTCGGGACGACTTCAGCCCCCGCTTTGTTGCGCTCTTTACTCTCCTTCTTTTCCTCAAGTGTTTTCACTGGCTGGCTGAGGACCGTGTGGACTTTGTGAGTTGGGTCAGAGGGTTCTCTGGAGCAGACAGAAGCCAGGGAGTGGCTGGTGGGCAGGCATGTGGAGCGAGGGCTGGGTTGGGGATGTGGGGTGACCCCCAACCTTCCTGATGGGCCCCCTCTCTGCTCTGCCTCAGATGGAACGCAGCCCCAATATCTCCTGGCTTTTTCACTGCCGCATTGTCTGTGAGTGAGACCTGTGGGAGGGGAGAGGAGGGAGCTGGAGGGAGAAGCACCGTGGAGGATTGGAACATGAAATGGCTCTAACCATGGCCTGCACTCCAGAGCACAGGCTGCCCCCAGCCCACAGCTGTACAGGAAAGATAATTTAGGAAGTCAATTTGCATAACTTGTGCCCTGTTCCTCTCCAGGGCTTCTCAACTGCCTGGCCTTTTAGCTCTTTGCCTCCTCACCCAGAGCGTGGGCCAACCCAGTGCCTCCCCTGAGCAGAACTGGAGTTCCCTGGGGGCCGGGTTCAGTGGCGTGTGCCCACCTAACTAGATGGCTGGGTCCATGGTGAACTTGAGGGTGGGAGCTCTCTTAGTGCAGGAAGTGGTTGTCAGTCTGTGGACTGACCCAACCAACCCCCCATTTGGGGGGGGTCCCCACAGCCCTTATGTTCCTCCTGGGTATTCTGGATTTCCTCTTCGTCAGCCATGCCTATCACAGCATCCTGACCCGTGGGGCCTCTGTGCAGCTGGTGTTTGGCTTTGAGGTAAAACTGGCTTGGGAGGTTGGGAGGACAAGCCTGAGGTGGCACTGCATGTGCTTTGAATAACCCAGCAAACCCTTACTGAACACCTGTTCTATGGCCAGCCCCATGGGGGCCACCAAGGAGCAGCCAGCCATCGGTCCGTGCCTCTGCCCTCTACACGCTCATTCCTAGGAGAGTGGGGAAGGCACAGAAAGAGGTGCTTTGGAGGAAGAGCCCTGACCTGGTGCTCAGGGAAGCCTTCTGGGAAGTTGATGCCAGAGGAATTGGCTGATGATGGACAAAAGGAGTTAGCCTGATTGACAACTGGGGGGGGGGTGTCCCTGGCAGAGGAAGAATGTGTTCATGTGACAACAGCTCATGTTTGTTGAGTGCTTAACTGTGTGCCCAGCCCTGTGCTGAGCACTTGACCTGCATCTTTTAATGCAAAGCAACACTGTTGTAAAGGAATAGTTAATTCTGTCATTTTAGACAAGCAAACTGAGGTTCAGAGAGTGCTAGTGAGTTGCCATTCACACCACCTAGGGAGTGGAAGAGCTGGATGACCCCCCCAGCTGTGTCCAATCCTGGGCATGTACCATTGCACCTTGCTCTGCAAAGGCCCAGGGGTAGCAGAGAGTGGCTGGAGCAAGAGAGAGCTGCATATTTATGTCTCCCCTTCCCTCCTACCTCCAGTATGCCATCCTGATGACCATGGTGCTCACCATCTTCATCAAGTATGTGCTGCACTCCGTGGACCTCCAGAGCGAGAACCCGTGGGACAATAAGGCCGTGTACATGCTCTATACGGAGCTGTTTACAGGTGAGAAGAGCCTGGGCCTCCCCGGACCTGGACCAGCATCCCCAGCTGTGCCTTCCAGGCCCTGTGACTGGCTGCTCTCTGCACCCCTCCTTGCCCCTAGGCTTCATCAAGGTTCTGTTATACATGGCTTTCATGACCATCATGATCAAGGTGCACACCTTCCCTCTCTTTGCCATCCGTCCTATGTACCTGGCCATGAGGTAAGCCTAGCCCAGCTCCACCATGCCTCTGATCCCTACCTGATCCCTCCCTTCCCATCCCCCAACTTTCACTGAAACTATCCATTCAGGCAGTTCAAGAAAGCTGTGACAGACGCCATCATGTCTCGCCGAGCCATCCGCAACATGAACACACTGTAAGTGGGCTGGTCCTAGCTGCTCCCCCAAGCTCTGTGCCAGGTGCCTGTGCCTCCCGCTCTCGTCGTGACAGGTCCTTGGTCTGTCCTCACCAGTTATCCAGATGCCACCCCAGAGGAACTCCAGGCCATGGATAATGTCTGCATTATCTGCCGAGAAGAGATGGTGACTGGTGCCAAGAGACTGCCCTGCAACCACATTTTCCACACCAGGTGGGAGGGACCCTGGGGAGCCTGCACATCGGGGGGACAGGCTCCAGAAGTCAGGACCCTAGGGACCTGCTGACCATTGCCTGTCTTGACCCCCAGCTGCCTGCGCTCCTGGTTCCAGCGGCAGCAGACGTGCCCCACCTGCCGAATGGATGTCCTTCGGGCATCGCTGCCAACACAGTCGCCACCACCCCCTGAACCTGCCGATCAGGGTCCACCAGCTGCCCCCCATCCCCCACCTCTCCTGCCCCAGCCCCCCAATTGTGAGTGGCCCCTCATTTGGCCACCCAGCCCACTGTTGATACTTGCCCTGAGCTGGGTATGGGAAACAGGCGAATCAGAGTCCCTCTCCTCCAGCTCAGTCTGGGTCGGGGAGAGGAGCATGGGAGGAGACAGACTGCGGTCGTGTGTGATCAGTGCTGAGCTCAGAGGGCTTACGGGAGCAAAGACAGCTCGCAACTGGCCCCTCGTCTGTGATTTGGGTGTCTCAATTTGGACCTCTTCTCACCACCCCATCCTTTCTCTGCAGTACCCCAGGGCCTCCTGCCGCCCTTTCCTCCAGGCATGTTTCCGCTGTGGCCTCCTATGGGCCCCTTTCCACCTGTCCCACCTCCCCCCAGCCCAGGAGAGGCTGCGGCCCCTCCATCCACCAGCACAGGTGAGCCTTGTGGGTTCTGTGACAGCAGGGGATGGGACGAGTGGAAGCAGAGGCCCCTCAACACTCACTGGATTCCTGTGCTTGTTCCTCAGCAGCCCTTTCTCGGCCCAGTGGCGCAGCCAGTACCACAGCTGCTGCTCCTCCCTCTGCCCCGGCACCTGGCCCCAGCCCTGCCCCCGAGGCTAGCCCTGCCCCAGGCTTCCCCTTCCCACCCCCCTGGATGGGCATGCCACTGCCTCCACCCTTTGGTAAGTTGGGCCACTCAGGGTTGTTCTGGAGGGCAAGGGCTGTCAGGCCCAGGCAACCCAGGCTGAGCCTCTCCCTCTCCCCAGCCTTTCCCCCTATGCCTGTGCCCCCTGCGGGCTTTGCTGGGCTGACCCCAGAGGAGCTGCGGGCTCTGGAAGGCCATGAGCGGCAGCACCTAGAGGCTCGGCTGCAGAGTCTGCGCAACATCCACACGCTGCTGGATGCCGCCATGCTGCAGATCAACCAGTACCTCACCGTGCTCGCCTCCTTGGGGTGCGTCTGCACAAGGGTCTGGGGGGGGGTGGCAGGGGGCAGAGGCTTGCCAACAGAATGCCCCCGGCAGTGGTCCTTGGCCTTCTCTGCCACCTGTGACACCTGTTGATTCAGGCCTCCTATCTGTAGGTACATCCAGGTCCCAGGGTCCTCGGTGCCTCTATTCTTCCACTGCAAAAGGCCTCTCTAGGTCTAAGCAGGAGTGTTTATTAGAGCTGACCTTCAGTCTCGTTCCTTTATATTTTTCGAAAGTCAAACTACTTATAATTCTCAGTGCTTTAATTATATACACCTTCCTGACACATGGCAGCATTGTGACTGGGAATAACTGCCTCTGATCTGAGATTGCAAATAAAAATCACTTGGAGCCAGCCTGGCCTGAGTTCAAGTCCTAGTCCCATCACTTGTTTGGGACCATTACCTTATTGGAAGTACAGGGGCTTTAAGTCCTATTCACAGGTCACATACACGAAGTGCTGGGCATCCGGCAATGATAGCACAGGTTTGCTGGGGAGCTGGGGTCCCAGACTTGAGCGCTGTTTTATTAAGTGTTCTGTCTTAGGTAGGTACCCGATAAGGTGTCTGGCACCCTGGGTAGAGACTGCAGTGTTACAGCGTAACACTGAACAAGGCCAACAGTCCCTTCCTGCAAGTATTCAGTCAGTCTGGCATAGTCATGAGAATTCATGCAATGCATGTTCACCATGTCTGCTGGTCACATCATTGCTGAACTCTCCCCTGCCAGGCTTACCAGTGGCAGGAGAATCTGCCTGATCATGCCAGGATGCCAAGGCTGGGCCCACCTCTTCTCCCTTTTCTTCCTAGGCCCCCACGGCCTGCCACCTCAGTCAGCTCCACTGAGGAGATGGTCCCTACAGTTGCTGCCTCCTCCACCAGCATCCCCAGCTCTGAGGCTACCACGCCATCCCCAGGAGCCTCCCCACCAGCCCCTGAACCTGAAAAGCCTTCAGGTAGCTGTGGTCAGCCTCCAGGGGGGTGGAGCAGGGGACTCCTCTGGGTCTCACTTCTGACCTCTCTGTCCCCAGCTCCTGAGTCGGTGGGCACTGAGGAACTGCCTGAGGATGGGGAGCCTGACGCAGCAGAGCTCCGCCGCCGTCGCCTGCAAAAGTTAGAGTCTCCTGTTGCCCACTGACACTGCCCCAGCCTTGGCCCCTGCCCTCACTGTTGAGCAGCCCACGCTGGAACATGTCCTGCCACCAAGTGCCAGCTCCCTCTCTCCTGCACCAGGGAATAGTAACCCCCAGCCCAGGCAGAGGAGGTGGCATCCCTGGCCAAATAGGAAGAGGCCTGAGGCTCCAGACGACTCCAGCCCTTAGAGTCCTGGGCGCCATGGGGACCTTGGGTCAGTTCCAGCCTTCCTCTCCGACCAGTAAGCCTGTGTTCTGCTGGGGCTGTGAAGTCAGAAAGGCACAGCCTTTGAGAAGCCCCCTGGGCCGCACTTGTGTATGTGGAGTCCTGCTGCAGTGCTGATCAGTATTAGCCCCTGGGCCACCCCAGCAAGACTGGTATTGTCGTTTTCTTATCCTAAACTCCCCAGAAGCCCTTTGTGTTGGTGGTGGTTGTGTCCGCATTTCCATGTCTTGCTGGCAGCCACGTGCCTCAGGGAAAGAAGTGCCTGTGGGTGGAGGAGCAGGTGGGCAGCAGTGAGGGGCCCTGCCCCTCCCCTCCCCCAAGGCTCCTCTCTCCCGAGTCTGTCCGAGTGTGACTCCCTGGTTTCCTCCAGCAGCCACTGCCCAGCCTCCCTCCAGGGTGAGGGTTTGTGTGTCTGCTCCCGAACCACTGCAAGCCCCGGAATTCATGGATGGCCACTTCTCGACGTACAGAACTTTTCTTGAGTTTAGAAGAATTGGAATTACTTCCTTGCTTATTGTCTTTTGGCTTAAATTTTGTCTTTGAACTTGAATGCTTTGACCCCAGGAAAGAGGAGTAAGAGTGCCAGGCTCCTGGTCTTTCCAGTTTAGACAAGGCAACGAGCCAGGCAAGGACCACAGGAGCTGCGGCTTGCCTGCCCCCTTTCCCCCTCAGTTTTGTGTTATAAGAGTTGCTGGAGAGTTTCAGATGATTATTTAATTTGTAAATATTGTACAAATTTTAATAGCTTAAATTGTATATACAGCCAAATAAAAACTTGCATTAACAATTTGTGCAGCTAGTGTGGTAGGATCTGTGTGCTGGGCTCCTTTTTCTTGCTCAGGCTACAGCTTGAGAATGACCCGGAATCTCTAGGAGTAAGGGTTTACTTAGTTCATATTATTGATTATAAACTGTTAAGATACACTCACTTTACATAATAAGAAACTGAGGCCCAGAGAAGTTAAGTACCCTGCCTTAGGTCAGAGACCAAGTAGGGGAACCAGATTCTGAACCATTTCTTAGCCAGTTTGATGTTGGGGTTGGGATGGGAACACAGGCATTCAGCTCCTGTGACTCTAAGGATGGGGCAAGTGTGCAGGTTCACTGGCTGGAGGTGGGACAAAGTGGCAGGGGCAAATGGCCAGCCTCTTCCTGCTCACAGTCCCCTTTCCAGTCTTGATACCAGGTCAAGCTGGGAAAGTTGGCCTGGCATAAGGCGGCTAGGAGCTCCCAAGCATACCCTAATGGACAGACCTGCTAAGTCTATAATCATTTAGCGTCCTGGAGCTGGAAACCCAGTCAGGCCAAACTCAGGCCTGGAATGAACAGAGGTGACAGCCTCTGTGAGTAGAAAAAATAAGCTTGGGTGCTTTGTGCCCATGTCGAAGACTGCACTTCAAATTGACCTTGAGGACCCGTGTCTGAGTCACCCGCGTCGTCTGTAGTCTCCACCAAGCTGACAGCAAGGGCTCGGAAGAGCACAGTAGTGAGGGTCTGAGGGCCAAGGCAGGAATGTGCCCGACTGGTCTATCATGGACTACCCTTCCTTAAACTGGGTTGGGCTATTGCTGCCACCTGAGGCGCAGTCAACAACTTATAGAATTTGAATAGCTGAGGCCAAGGAGCTCCAGCGAAGGCAAAACAGATACTGAGCAAAGGTGCGGAGGCGATGGTAGCAACCAATGCCCCCATCTAGCTTGGCTGTTACTGGTGAGGTTAGTCTACCCCACTACCAGCACCCGTGCAAAGATCCCATTTCCCCCTTTATGCAAGCAAGGCCTCCTTGAAGCCTTTAGCCCTGACTCCACCCTGCCCAAGCCCTCAGCCCTGGTATCTGTACCCCCTGCTGTAGTTGTTCCAATACCCACCTCCCTCTTTCTGAAATCCCCTAGACTCATCTGTAGGGGATGCTGTCATACAGGCTACTCAGCTGGGCCTCAAAAGCCCTTCTCCAGGAGCCAGGCTTTGAGCTGCTGGTCAAAGTAGCCCTTGACCCGCAGAGTACCCGTCACCTCATTGACCTGGGTGACAGGTATCTTTCCCATCATTGGGCTCAGAAAATCTTCCACATCCTTCTTCAAGGCCTGGAGGAAGATGACAAATCAGACCAGGTCAGACACTCCCCTCTAACAGATCCCCATCCTCTGAGCCCTGAAAGAATTAGAACCCAACCCTGACCCACCTACCCACTTACCCAAATGTCCCCCTCCACCTTCCGGATCACAGTCATCTGGCGATTGCCATGTGTGATGTCCTTGTAGACAGGGATGTTGTGCATCCGAGAGCGCCGTACAAAATAGGGCAGGTTGGGTGGGGTATCTGTGACAGGCAGGGATGATGATTAAGCCAAAGCTTCCCAGGTTTCATCCTACCTCAGCCAAAGACTTTCCCCAGTTTGCAGAAGGCCAGTGTACCTGATTGCAAAACACCTCCAGATTTCAGGTCAGGAAACCTGCTCTTCCCTAATTTTAGATCCAGGACCAGCTTGTTGAACTTGGTACCCCAAAGCCCAGCACAGGGCCTGGCACCAGAAGGTACTCAGGAAGAAATGAAATCAGGGCTATGCCTCCTTGGGTCTTTGGGTCCTCCTCTGGGGCCAATCTGTGCCCTTTTCCACTGGGTCAAAGAAGCTAAAATCAATCTCTGGCACAAAGGGATGGGGGATATACAACTGAACACCTACCACATGCTGGGCTCTACGCTAAATGCTTTATGTACCAAGCGATTATCTCCATTTTGCTGAAACTGAAGTTGGGAGGAGCTAACTGACTAACTCAAGATCCCCTAGTAATGAACAGTAGAACCAAATTCAGACCCAGAACTGCCCAAATTCCCAAGCTATGTTCTCAGTTATGGTACCCGGCCTGCTGGCAGAGTGGTGTCCAAGCTCTAGGATCTTCTCTCTAGCTTCACTTTTCCTGCACGGGAAGACCTCATCCCAACAGTGGGAATGGACTGATGCTTGTAAAACGGGGCTCATTTCTGGGATCTTCCTTGAACATGAAATAGATGCTAGCCCTGAGAGATCTCAACACAAGTCCTGAACCCACTGGGGGGTCCAGAGCCTCAGTGAGGCCAGGAAGACCACTAGGGAAGGAGATACGTCCCTGTAGCCTACAAGCCATCCCCATGATCCAGCTCACCTCTGGGGGGTTGCCAGCCACTAGGAGTGGGATAATGTTCATGCTTTGGGGGCTTTGGTATGCTGGTGGGGGGTAAGAGACGCTCCACAAATTGGTATTCATCCACAGACACCACGAAGCTAGGGGAGTCAGGAGGCCCCTGCGCCCGGCTCTGAAACACACAAAAAAGGAAAACACTCTCACCCGATCAGCTCACCCGCCCAACACAGAACTAGACAGTTTTATTGGGTTGAGGAAGGAAACGTTACAGGCAGAGAGAATAGTATAAACAAAAGGCTGAAGGTAGGAACCACGAGACTTCAGTTTGCCAAAGTATAGGGCACAAGTGGGACTGGAAAAGAAGTTCACGCACTCTGACAGGTCTACCTCGATTAGGATTTCTGCGGCATTCAACTGAAATAACACTTAACCATAACTCTAACCAATGTGGCATTTTTCAGTATTTTAAAGTTTTCTCTGAACATTCTACTGGAATACTCTAGTTCTGGGTTGGGCACTTTTCAGCAGTCGTGCTAACTTCCCCCTCACACTCACCCAATGTGACCCTTCCTTACCTGGAACGTTTGGGCCTCATATAAACACCACCAAGCACTGTACTAAATGCTCTTCAGGTATTGTTTTAACTTGAATACACAACTTATTTTATTATTCTCTCTCTACACCCAAACATGATTAAGACATTTAATAAACAAGCTACCTAAGATCACACTCCGGAGTTTGTCTTAACATTCTCCAAAGTAACAGTCCTGGGACCGTTCTCCCAACAGACACCCCAGAGTCCCCATAGATCCCGGGATTAGAGCGAGAACAAGCAAGCAGGGTGAGGTGGCCGGTATATCAAGAGGTTCCCAGAGGTATCGCCAATGATCTGGGGACGACTGCTACGCCATCAACAGTTTTTCCTTCAAAAAATTAGGTAGCAAGAATCGATGTGCAGTCCCTGCCAGTTCTGACAAACTGGGGTTGTCTTCGTATCAGGTCCTAACGCCCACACTCCAAAGCGCGCTGCAGGCCCCGAACCTTCCCTTTCAGTATTGTATCTGAGCTCCAGGAAAGTGCCCCCGATCACACGGGAAAACTAAGGCCCCAAACAGGGACGTAGTTTTTAGGGTTACAAGGAACAACAGTGAGCCTCACGCCCAGCCCTCTGCCCCCAGCTCCAAGCACAGCTTTCTCACCAGCTGCCGTAGCTCGTAGCCTGGCTGGACGCCGGTTCTCCATCCCCGCAGCAAAGCCCTGAACGCGGCAGCAGCCATCTTGAACTGCTCCCGCACACCAACCTTCTGCGCGCGCAACTGGTCTGATCCCGCCCCTTCCCACGCGTGCCGCGCGGAAGCGGAAGAACGCCTGCGCGAAGCGTAGAGAGTCGGGGCTAGGACGGCTGTGAGCCGCACCTCCTCCCAAAAAAAAGAGGCTCTCGCGGTCGCTCAGCAGTGACGTAACACGGAGCAGGCGGTGAGGACATGCGCGCGTCCCCTCCTTCCTCCTTCTCGACTCCATCTTCGCGGTAGTGGCTGCTGTGTACCCGGTTGAGGTAAGATTTGGGCCCCGTCTCGGTTCGGAGAGCTTAATAGAAGGTTGGCCGCAGGGCAGGGGTCTCGGAAAAGATAAAGAGAAGCTACTCTGAGCGGGGCTCCGACCTCCCTGGCAGGTCGGGCCTTATACACGTGAGACCCCCGACCATCTACCTTCCGCCGCAGTAGGTCCCCGCACGCCACCCATTTCCCAACCCTGATCTTCCGGGACATTTTATTTTTCCCTTATAAGGCTTGCATTTTTCAGTGGCCGACATGCAGCTCTTTGTCCGCGCTCAGGAGCTACACACCCTTGAGGTGACCGGCGAGGAGACGGTCGCCCAGATTAAGGTAAGGCTGCGTGAAGCTCTTTGAGCTCCATTCTCTTGTATTCCGCAACCTCTGCGCTCGCGGGAACGCTGAGTCTCGTTTTTCCTCGTAGGCTCATGTAGCCTTGCTGGAGGGCATCGCTCCAGAAGACCAAGTCCTGCTCCTGGCAGGCACGCCCCTAGACGATGAGGCTGCTCTGGGCCAGTGCGGAGTGGAAGCGCTGACCACTCTGGAAGTAGTTGGCCGCATGCTTGGAGGTGAGTTAGGGAGGACTGTCCTTTGAACTGTTTTGTTTGTAAGCTTTTAATGGGTGTGGGGTATGGAGTTCAATGTCCTCAATCCAACGTGGTCCTGTTTACCTCCCCAGAGTGAACTCTTGAGGGAGCCACTGAGCCAGAGTGTAGTTCTATTTCAGTCACTTACTAGATCCTTGTATAATTCCCAGTTTCCTCACTAAAATAAGAGGTCCTAACAGATCCTCACGATGCTCTTCAATTCTTGCTTAAAGTCAGGAGCTGGAAAATACCGAAATGTAATTCCAGAACATAACAGACTAGACATTCATGGTCAGAGGTCAAATCTCTGCAACTTTATTTTCCTCCCTGTTGGGCCCAGCTTGCTTTAAAGGCTTGAGTTAAGGGAGAAAGGATGCTGCTGGGTGGAGCCTTCTTGGTCTCCTAACTGCTTGCTGTCTTCCTTTCTCACCACAGGTAAAGTCCATGGTTCCCTGGCCCGTGCTGGGAAAGTAAGAGGTCAGACTCCCAAGGTAAGTGAGAGTCGTTTGGACTTTGTTTTTTTTCTTGTCACACTGAGCCAAGATCCTTGGCTCTTGCCCTGGCTGCCCTCCTCCCTGGACATGAACCTGAGGGAGGATACAAAAGGGGTCAACCAGGGTCTGATCATCCCTCCCTTTTCCCAGGTGGCCAAACAGGAGAAAAAGAAGAAGAAGACAGGCCGGGCCAAGCGGCGGATGCAGTACAACCGGCGCTTTGTCAATGTTGTGCCCACTTTCGGCAAGAAAAAGGGCCCCAATGCCAACTCTTAAAGTCTTTTGCAATCTTGGCTTTCTCTAATAAAGTTGCTTGGCCCAGTCATCTCATTGTCTTATCTTCATTTACAGGGCCTCAGGGAGAGAGTATCTAGGGTTGGTGGTGTGTCTACTAGAAGAATAGTGAGACCTTGTTTTGGTTTGGTGGTAATGTCAAGTTAAGAAGATGCAGAGGGCCTTGGGGATGTGAGGGTCCCAGAATGGTGTACTACAAGGAAAGGATTCCCATGAAAATTGGTAACCACAGATTCCAGCCCTTCAGTTGGAGAGTTGGGGATATTTCCAATCACAAAAAAAGTGGTAATTTCTCAAATGCTTTTTTTAAATAGAGAAGATAGCAGGAATCATTGTGGTGGGAGATTTTATGGAAGCAGCAATGGAGCAGGGTAGATGGAGGGAACACCTGTATGGCCTTTACTTGAACTTGGGGAGAACTGTGGCCTTGGTTGAGTCCAGGGCAGAAGTCGGGTCTGTCCCAGCTTTGGAAAACAATACCTGATTACCTTGGCACTGTTGTGACCCTGTGCTGGTTCCCAGCTAGGTTTGCTAACCTAATCACGGGTGAGTTTGGCCAGTTGATTTGTTCAGTGTTCCCAGAAGTGGAGTTCTTTGGGGCTGAGTCAAGTTTCCCTCCTAGCAATACGTGCATACCTACCCTCATTACACTAAGGTTTCTGAACCTGCTGGTTCTTGGAATACAACAAACATGTCATGGAGTAAAGACTTTGGGGCTCTAGACTTAAGACTGATTGCTGCCATACCTGCACTCTACTACAAACTGTTGAGTTTCAATCCTGGCTCCATTTATTTACTGTCTTGACTTTGAACTAACTAATAATCTCTGCCATCAGCTCTTGAGTATTGCTGTGCAGACTGAATAAAGTAAAAGTACTTAGATCAGTACCTGTCATACAGTGAGCAAATTTGTTGCCATTTTTTGTCTCTATGTTGATCTTTTAGAAAGACATTGCCCCTTTCTAGGATTTTAGATTCTTGTAGGGAAACTACATAGTTGAAAGTGTTATCATTTTAAAAAACGTAAGGGTGCTGTAGTGAAAGCTGGGATATGGACAGACACCCTACCTTTGGGAAGGTGTCTGAAGAAGAAACGTGGGACACCTAAAACAAGGAACCAATCAAGTGGTGAGACAACAAAAGATTCCAGCCAAGAGAACTGTAAAGGTGTGTGACATCCTGCAGGGACATGGAGAGGAATTTGGGTTTGAATCCAAGTGCAGTGTAAGGTCACAAAGTACAGGAGGAGGTTTTTAAGCAAGGACCTCATACGCTCTTGTGATTTAAGTATTTTCTCTGGCTGATTTTTCTGGAGTGGCAGCAAATAAGTTGGGAAACCAGTTAAGGTGGTGTCATTCCGTTGAGGGGCACATAGCTTAGACCACCAGTAGTAGGGGGGATGTAAAAAGAACACTTCAAGTTTCATCAAATCCATCCAGATCTTGGTAGGAAAATCGAGACAAATACAAGGTATTTTGAAGGCAGAACTGACTGGATATGCGTGAGCTGAAGGGTCAAAGAACCAGGGCTTGCTTTTCAGAGGTGCTGTGGATCAAGTCTTCACAGTGCTTGGCATGGCTTGTGGGTCATCACCCTCTACTACAAACTACGCTGTTAGGATAGGGACCCCATCTCTTGCTTCTCAATGTGGTTTTGGCACCTAGGGTGGAGTCTTCACTTCAAAGTTGTTTGAACTTTAGGTTTGGAGAAGGAACTCAAACAAGATATTTTGTTACTTTTGAATAGAGGAAGTGCCCCCAACACACAGTCTAAGCTAGGTACCCCGTCTTGGCTTTCCACTCCCATTTATCTGTGTCTCCCGGTATAATGGCTGCCTCTGTAGCGCTGCGACGCATCTCAGCTCCTATGGCTTGGCACAGTTGGTGGCCCAGAGTAGATGCTTAGCAAAGACCCATTAATGCTTATTGCCGCAGAGCTTCATAGTACTGAGAAGGCAACCGCTAGGGGGCGAGCTGATGCGGGCCGAGCTCCCTCCTGCCACACTTCCCTGCCTATGGCCGCGCGGGGCGGGGCCTGTATTTCACAACCGACTCTTGGCGCCTGTCCGAGCGCTGTTTAGGGGAGAAGTGGGGCTTGGCTTCCGACTGTGGGCGAAAATTGCCGAGAGTTCTCGGCGACCTCCGACTAAATGCTCCATCAACCGCAAATAGGCGGAAGTAACCGAAAAGCTCCGGAAATGCCCGAGCGGCGGCGTTTGTGCGTTCGAGGGCGGCACGCGGCGCAAGTTGCCATGGAGCCGGCCGGACCTTGTGCTTTCTGCCCGGCGGAGGAGATCCAGCCAGCGAGGTACACCTGCCCTCGTTGTAATGTGCCCTACTGCTCGCTGCGCTGCTACCGGGCGCATGGCACCTGCGCCGAAGACTTCTACCGTGACCAGGTGCTGGGAGAACTCCGCGGCCGCAGCGCCTCGCCCAGCCGCCTAGCCAGCGCCTTACGCCGGCTGCGTCAGCAACGCGAGACCGAGGACGAGCCCGAGGACGCAGGCCTCAGTCCTGGCCCGGCGCCCAGCCGCCTCTTAGGACTCTGGGAGCGGCTGGCCCCCGCCGAGAAGAAGGCCTTCGAGCGGCTGCTGAGCCGTGGCGAGGCCGGGCGGCTTCTGCCCCCGTGGCGGCCGTGGTGGTGGGTACACGGGGCCGCGCCGCGGCTTCTGGAGGAGCTGGATGATGCCCCGCAACGTGACTCCGCGGAGTTGGAGCCCACCCCTGCCAGAACGCCAACGGAACCCGTGAAGGATGCGGAGCCCGCGGCTGACGTGCGAGTTTTCGGAGACACCCCAGGGGCCTTCGGGCCCACCGTGCCCACCCGGATCCCCACGCTGGCCAGCCTGAGCCGACGCGGGATCTCGCCGCTCGTGCGTTTCCAGCTGCCCAATGTGCTGTTCGCCTACGCTCACGCCCTTGCTTTGTATCATGGAGGTGATGATGCGCTGCTTTCCGACTTCTGTGCCACGCTCCTCAGCGTTTCTGGAGCTCTGGGCGCCCAGCAAGTCTTCACCTCTGTGGAGGACGCACTGCAGGCCGCAGCCCATGTGCTGGAAGCTGGCGAGCATCCCCCCGGGCCCCTGGGTACAAGTGGTGCCATGCGCGAAGCCGCCCGCATTATGCTGGGCGAAGGCCTGACTAACCAGAAAGGGTACACGCTGGCAGCACTGGGGCACCTGGTGCAGATTCTGGGCCGGGCACGGAAACAGGCTGTTTCTACCGAAGAGAGAGATCGCCTGTACCGGGCACGGAAGAAGTGTCAGTTCCTGCTGGCTTGGACCAACGAAAATGAGGTGGCCCTCACACCACTGGCGCTAGACTGCGCCAGGACCCACCGAGCCCATGCTGTAGCAGCCGAGGAGGTAGCAGCCCTCACTGGGGAGCTAGAGCGGCTTTGGGGAGGCCCCCTGCCACCTGCCCCGAGGACTCTCATTGAGGAGCTCCCTGGCTGAACTGGGGACCTCTTGTCATTAATAAAGCTTTGACTGGTCTGCCCTGTTGGCAGTGCCCATTTCTGAGTGACAGCTGTTGTCCCACCCACCTTCAGACTCTTGGGCCCACAAACCACATCTGTTTCTCCCTGATCAAGGCTGATCTGGCCGGTTTTTAAACACCTCAGCCCCACAAAGGGAAAGCAGTAGCACCAAGGGTTCCAGATTATTCAGGGAGTAACAACAGCCTCTCCATTTCATTTCTGGGCACTTGCTTTATTTTCTTCTTACTCCAAACCACCTCTCTGAGGCTGTTCATCCTTGCCTGTTGGATGGAACTCAGGGCAGGGTAGGGTGCAGGTCCTTGACTCCCACCCCGGTGTGTGAGCCCCAGGCTCCTGCTGCTGGGAGTGCCCCGACCTGGGGTTAGTGGGGCTGCTCAGTAGACGTAGGGCACGATTCGGTAAGGCACACGCCGGCAGTACTCGCGCCAGGCCAGACCATACTTTCGCAGGCACAGCTGCTCATCCCGGGCCTCACGGTGCACCAGGAGCAGAGTGAAGTAGAGGACGTAGAAGTAGGGCAGCAGGTGGGACACTCCTATGGGATGGAGGGCCCTGTGATCATTCTGCCAGCCCCTTAATTCACAGAGGTAAACCTAATAGCTCATGGGGCATTGAAGCTCAATGGTAAACGGCCCAGGGTCTGCAGCAAGGTGCCAGCAGTACTATGCTGGCAGGGAGGTCTGCCCCAGCCACACAGTGAGTCCATCCCCAGCTCCCTGACTACTCCCTCCACTGGGGTGCACCCCTGTTCATTCCAAACCCAGACTGGGCACCCTGTGGCCAACCACTTCTGCCCCTCACACATGGGTGGTCTCCACCCTATGTCCACCCCAGTGACTCACCACAGGGCAAGGACCAGGCCACAGCCATGATGAGGTCTCCAAGGTAGTTGGGATGGCGGACCATACCCCACCACCCAGACACCAGCAGCTGCCGCCCCGTGGCAGTAGGGATGGTCTCAAGATCTGGGGAAAGATGGGTAGTGGGATAGGGAACCCCCAAGACACCCAACTGCCCTTCCTCACGGCACCCAGGAATCCAGCTCACCAGCCACTCTGGGGTCAAAAGGATTCTTTCGGAAGGTGTTTTTCTGGGAATTAGCTCCTCGGAAAATGTAGTAACCAACAGCTGGGGGAAAGTGCGAGCAGGTGGTCAGGGTTGAGGCCCATAGCCTTTTACCCACCCATGACCATCTGCCCACAGCCCAGAACTAGTCTTCCAGGAGACCCAGTCCCAGCTTTAGAGAAGGATCTGAGGCTTAGTTCCTACTTGGTGGGTGTTGAATGAAGTAAGTGAAAGGGGAGGGCGAACTGTGCACTCAGCCTGCTGCCTGACTGACCGTTGATGAGGCAGATGACTGAGGCCATGGGCAACCCCAGGGGCTGTGGGTGGTACAGCAGGAACTGCGCCTGCAGGCTGTATGTGAAGGGTACCCAGGCTAGGTCCCCAAAGGCCAGCATGAAGCCAAACCCATCATGTGTGAAGTCCATGGTGGTGAGGACAGCCTCCTGCAGGGATGGGAACCAAACACAGTGGCTTAATCCCCACGAGGCACTCAAGATACCCTCCCCTACCTCCCCACCTGGTCCAGCCTCACCTCATGCCAGAGAGCATCAACCACGTAGAGTAGCTGGAAGCCATTGACCAACCACATGGCCAGTGAGGGACTCCCTCGAAGTTCTGCTTCCTGCATCATCAGGGCCAGGTTGATGAGGACCTGGGGTGGTGGGGAGAACAGGGCAGTGTGTCTGCACAGAGGTGGCAGCATGTGGGCAGAGCAGTGGCCAGCCTCTCCCCTTCTCGCTGTCAGTCACTAAGTCCTCAGCCCTTCTTGAATGGCTCCAGCCCCCAGACTCGGGAGTCGAGAGACTGCCGTGGCCACTGTCGCTCACCGTGTCCTCTGATGCTCCCTCGGGGACAGCAGCACAGGGTGCAGCTGAATGCTTCAGGTTTGAGGGTCTTGAATCCCAGCTTTGCCACTTAGGCAAATTGCTTACCCTTCCTAAAGCCTAACTCTCACCCCCATGTGGAAGGCGGAGGCCATCATGGACCTGCCCCATGGAGCTAGCCAAGGGCTCACTGCATGTGAAGGGCTAAACACAGTATGTCTGGCACATAGTAGGTGCTCAGCAATGGTTCACCAGCAGCCAGCTTATCCTTCGCACCCCCATTCTGGGCTTCTGCTGTCATTAAGGTCACCACTTCTAATCGTCACAAGAACCTTAGAAGGAAGCTCCTACTTTATCCCATTTCCTATGAGAAAATAGCTTTGGCACCAGGATCCAGACCATGGGCACTTGGCACTCCTCCCACGTTTGGATGAGGTAGTTTCCAGGGTGACCTGAGGGGTCTTGCCCAAGAGACCCATGAGGAAATGCCACAGTCGAGCATGGGTGATTCAGCCCAAACACACAGCTGGCACGTCATCAAGGCCACCGGCGATGGATGGGCTGCTACACCCAGTGAGAGGCTCTAACTTCTGCGCTGCTTTGACCATCCTGTGCAAGCGACATAGGATCACTCTCTCCTCTCCTCAAAATAGATTCCGTGCTTGACTGCTTTTTTTAAATTGCACCTGCTCTCCTAACTCCCTCTCTGCTATGCTTTTTCCATAGCACTAAGCATCCTCTGACATACTATGTATATTTTACTTATTTTTTTGTCTTTCCTACTAGAATGTAGGCTTCATGCAACATTTTTCTCTTTTGTCTCCCAGTACCTCAAACAGTGCCTATGGCCCATGGTGAACTCAACAAATACCTGTGGAATGAGTGAACATTAATGATTTAATCTATGCAATACTGGCCGGCCCTGCCCAAGCACTGCTGACCCATCCCACCCCTCCTCCTGGCCCAAGGCCCACTTAGCCATGCCCAGCATACCCAGCCAATGAGGCCAGGCCGCAGTTCACAGAAATATTTGAAGTCAAAGGAACAGATGCGTGGGTTGAGCTCCCGTCCCAGGAAAAAGTCGTAAATGGGATTGCCTGGAAAATAATGGAGGGTAAAGTTGCAAGCAAGCACCCCCATCTGCCTCCACCCACACCCACCCTATCTGGACTCCTCTCACCTGAGTTCCCCCCAGGTGCCAGGGCGGAGGGAGAGGCTACCAGAGCTTTCAGAAAGAGGAGGAGGCTTAAGGTGAAAGCAGTGAGGATGGCCGCAAATGCCAAGGGCAGGAGCATTTCTGGGAGCGCCCCCAAGGGCAGCCCGGCAGACATCCCCAGGCCCACCAACAGGGCTGTCAGCACCAGAGCCTGGAAACCTGAACAGCAGCACACAGTGAGTCTAGACGCTGCGCCCCTCCACCTCCTCCACCCCTAAACACACACACACAGCCCAAAGCCCAGGGAGGTCATGGACCTTGCTCCCAAGCCACTAGGCTGACACCTTAGCTTTCAGAGGATCACCCCACCACTGATCTGGTGCATAGAGTAGCAGCAAATGCTGTTTTAAGTAGGGATGGAGTGACAAGAGGCATGGATGACACTGAGATCCCCCGCGTCTGTCCTGGGCAGAAAAGAGACACATAACGGAGATTGGGGTCCGGGGCTGATCTACATAGCCTCCCCACTAGGCCTGCAGCTCCATCCCCATACACGCAACGACCATGACCCCAGGCACCATTAATGGGGTAGCGCAGGCGACTCCTGTCCTTCAATTCCTGCCCCTCGGCCACCTGCAGGAACAAAGGATCTCTGATGAGGGTTGAGGGCGCCCTTCTCGCTGCCCGTCCCTCCGCCCTCCTTCCCCGCGTGTCCGCCAGCCCAGGCCACACCTTGCGCGCCGGCAGCAGGTAGAGCGCGGCCTGCAGGCCGAGCCAGGTGAGCCACAGCAGCAGCGCCCGCGGGCTCCACAGCGCCTCGAGTCCGGGCAGGTACGGAGGTGGGCCCAGGAGGCGCGCCGGGCCCGAGCGGGCCACCAGGAGCAGGTGGAACGTGGTAGCAGGGAGCAGCAGCATCAGAGCCGCAGCGCCTGGGGACGAGGGGCGGCCGCGTCGGGCGGCGGCTCCCGAACCCTCCGACCCCCGCAGGCGCCTGTCGTCGCCAGGGCCCCCTCAGCATTCCCACCGCCCTCCGCCATAACCCGTTCTCAGTCCTCAGCCCTGGTCCCCGACTTCCATGCTGTCCTCATCCCTAGCCCCCTTGAAGACCCTCCCTCGGGTCCCCCTACTCCGTCCAGTCCTCCACTCCACAAATCCCCGCACTTCAGCCCCACAGCTGGTCCCTCTCCAGACACTCCCCAGCAAACCCCAGCTGCCCCTGCCTCCGGATACCCCTCAAAACCTTCCATCCTCAGATCCTGCCCCGATCCCAGCTTGTAGCTCGCTCCTGCAGTTCCCCTCGCCGAGTCTCTGGCCCTGAGCTCCCCCCACTGCCCCATTACCCAAGGGTCCCCCGAATTCCAGCGGGGCCCGGGAATCCTGAGAAGGGGCCATGGTCTCCGCGCCGCCGGGGGATAGTAGCTCACATAAGTCCCTTAAAGAAACATAGCCCACCCCATCTCCTAGGAGATGGGCTCGGTGACACGGCGACACGCAGGACCCGCCGCGCTGCGTCCAAACCTGTCTCGGCACTGCTCTGGGACAGTGACCGCTCTTGTCCCGCGATCTTAAAATGGACCCACCCCCGGCCCATCCTGGGGCCAGCAGATCAACCAATCGGCTCTCGGCCGCGAGACTGCACACCGCCTCCAAAGCCGCCTCTGTAGCCAAGGCGGCACAACTCCACCCCCTGCAAGTTCCGCCCCTGTACACTAGAGGGAGGAGATTACACGTCTTTATTAGGCGGGTCTTGAGGCAGGAGCACTAGAGCCGCCAGGGCGGGAGACCAGGGGATGGGAGGGTTGCGGCAACAAAACTAGTCCGTGCACTGCAGGCCCGGCCTAGCCGCGCTCGCAGATGACCTCGACAACACTGGGTTCCATCGGCACTGGGTCTGGGCAGCGGAGGGCTGCTGAAGCCACCACCTCGTCCAGCAGTAGATGCACAAGCTCCTCGTCCGCCACGAAGCGCCACAGGTAGAGCTGCAGGAAGTGACAGTCCACCTGCACCTGTTGCAGCCCGAAGCGCCCAAAAGTGCGCAGGCGCACACATTCCAGCAGCGTCTTCAGACTTATCTTGATGATGCCCGTCAGCACCGACACCTGCAGCAGGGACACAGGATCCCTAAGGGAGTGCACCCGCATTCTGGGCAGAGGCCAGAGAGACAGCCAATAGCTGCGATGGCACGGAAAGTCCCAGGGCCCACGTAAGAGGGGGGGGATAGGTACAGTGTTAGTACCACCATCTGGAGGGCAGCAGGCGGGAAGGACCTAGCCATCAGTGGCAGAGGAGGCGGTCAGCATGACCATGGGGAGCACGGAGGCTTACCGAGTTAGAGGGAAAAAAACTACCTGGTCCCTGAACATGGGCTGGGTTGGGGGGGAGACCATGACATAAATAGGAATCCCTGGGGATGACCCAGGACTACTGCAGGGACAAGGTCAGGGCAAAAGAGGCATACTACATCAGCACCCACACCCAGGCTGGGAGCGTGCCATGGTGGGGGCAGAGAGTCATGGGATGGCGATGGTGGGGCTCTGCATGACCACTCACTTCTAGAAACAACCCACAGAGACTGAGGGGACAGAATCCTAGGGCTCCCTGAGACAGTTCAGCCAACCCTCCCTGGGCCCCTGGAAAGCAGGGTCACTGGGGACTTCAGACCTTGTTGAATTCCACCGGGCTGAACACATCAATACGTTCAGAGAACAGCTTCTGGATGTTGCTCAAGAGATTGGTGTCCATTGGGGCACTAGATGGTGGGGAGACAAGCAATCACAGCCAACCCTGCACCCCTATCCTCCTATGTCCACTCCCCCTGGGGCTACCTTGGCCAGCCAGACCTGGGAGTATAGCTGGGTGCGTAGCGGCCCTGCTGCCGGGAGCTGCTGTACACGGAGAAGGTCCTCTTGCTGGAGTCACTGCTCTGGGCCTTGCGAACACCCTCTTCATACAGGAGCCCCACCTGGTGGCAGAAGGAGACACTGCAAGGAAGCCAGAGCATGGGGAGCCTCCAGCCCAAGGATGTCATTACGCTGATTTGTGACAAGCATCAGGTCTGTTGCGAGAATCACCAGGTAGTCAGGACCTGGTATCTAGTTAGTACTCGGTTACTGTTTATAGAACCAGTGGAGTGGGGCAAAGGTGGGACACAGTTGGTACTGAGGCCCAATCTTCAGCAACAACCCTACCTGGATTTCTTGGGTGACTCTGAGCCTCAGCTTCCTCATAGGTGAAACAGGGCCATGATGCCACAATCCAGGGCTGAGAAGGTTAAGCGGCCACAGATGCAGGCACTACCCAGCCCCTGATGTCTTGATCCTCGGAGGGTTGTTCCCCCAGCAACCCCCACCTACATCAGGGCTCCCCTGGCCAGCCCAGGGCAGTACCTGCACATCAATAGCTGTCGTGTCCTCCACCACCCGCTTCATGACAGCACGCACGTTCCGGGGCTCCAGGGTGCTGAGCCAGTCCCGGGTCTCCACACTCTTGCGCAGCATCTGTGATATGACCAAGCCCTGTACCTTCACATAGTGGGTCAGTAGCCGCCGTGCTGTCTCCCTGGCCTCTGCACACAGTGTGCTTACAGGTGTCACTGGAGACTGGTCCTAAGCCAGGGACAAGGGAAGAGACAGGCAGTGGGTACTGGAGGCAGCTGAGAGGCCAGTGCCAACCAGGATGGGGGCCATGGCCTGGGTCTGCCCAGCTTCCTGTGCTCCCAGCACTACCATCCCCTACCCTGTCATGAGCTAGCAGTTCACCTGCACCAGAAACTGCTCATCAGTGAGGGTAAGGATGTAGGAGATGGTGGCTGTCTCGTAGTCCAGGCAGAGGCGGGAGAGGAGCAGGAGCAGGGCAGGTGGTGTGGCACCCCCCTTCTCCCCAGGATTATCACAGAAGCTCTGAGCCATCTGGCACATGGAGCGGATAAAGCCCACGATGAGGCCCTCACGGACACCTTGGCTGCAGAACTCGCCCTGTGAGGAGGAGAGGCCCAGATACACAGCAGGCTCCCTCTTCCAGGCAGGGACCCCCTCTGCTGGGACCCACAGTGCCCCTGTTGCCTCTCCAATGGACAGCTTCATCCTACATTCCAAAACCCCAGAGCAGCTCTCCTGCTTGGAGGAAGGAGTGCAGGGGGAAAAAGTCAGCACTGGGGACCCTGCTTGGAAGCCCTCAGAGCCTTCCCCACCCCTCCAGTCTGTGCCAGCCTTCCTTGGGACAGCCTGAAACCACATCCAGAGTGCTGGGGGCAGGAGCTGTGTGCCCTGGTAGCTGCCAACCTGCAGGATGAATAAAAGAACGCCAGGGGGCAGGCCATACCCGGAAGTAGGGCTTGTTGGAGAAAGAGACCTCCTTGGCGGTGAAGAGGTGCACAGCAGCCAGCGAGGCCTTGATGTGGCCCAGGATGGAGCTGGCCACATTGGCCAGCAGCTCAGCCAGGCCGGGGCCTTCCTTTCCAGCCAGGCGAGGCGCGGCCAGCACCTGCCGCACATCGGTCAGGCAGCCCAGGAAGGCCAACCGCAGGCCCTGCAGATGGTGACCCAGGCGCTCACGGGCTACTCGCTCCACGATCTCCGTGGCAGCCTCGGCCAGCCCAGCAGCGGCCAGCAGGGCCCCGGGCGCCCGCAGGCGTCGGTGGAAGCGGTCCAACGCCCGCACCAGCAGCGAGTTGTCTCCGCCACCCTGCTCCTGTGCCAGCCGCTGCTCCACCAGCACAAAGTAGCGGCTGCCCAGCTCCCGGGCGAAAGCAGCCAGCTTCTCCGCGCCTGCCGGACCCTGGGCTGCAAACAGCTCCTGGTAGACCGCCGCCACCTGGCAGAGGCCGCCTACGAAGCCGCTGCCCCCACGGTCCGTGAATTCTAAGACGTCGGGAGCCGGAGGGGAGGGCCCCAGCTCCGCCTGCAGGCTTCTCAGCTCCTCCTCCAGGCGCCCGCGGGCGTGCGCCAGGAACTCCTCGCACAGCTCCTCAGCCGGCTCGCCCAGCGCCAGCAGCAGCTCCACGCACTCCGCCTGCTCTGGGGCACCCGAGCCGCCCTCCCTGCCAGGAGGGAGATGGTGGTGAAGGGTGGCGTGGGGAGCCAGGGAAGCGCTGGGCAGGCCCATAGGCCGGCGCTGGGGCGAGGGCCGGGGTCACACCTGAAGCGCTGCCGGAGCTGCTGGGCCAGGCGAGCTGTGATGACCTGGCAGTCATCCTGGATGGCGCGGAACGAGGGCAGGTGCTGGTACTGCTCCAGGACGGCCCGTGCACGGCCCTGGTAGCGTACCGCCTGTCCGTAGGCGCCCAGCTCCACGCACTTGGTGAGGCGCGAGGGGAGCTCAAAGAGGAACTGCAGCTTCCGCAGCAGCGCATGGACCCCTGGGAGGCAGGGCGGCGGCGTTAGCCCCAAAGGCCCCACGGGCCGCCCCAGCGCCTACTCTGGGGCGGGGCCCACCTGCCAGCTTGGTGATACGCTCGTGGCGGTCCTGCAGCGTGGCGCTGATGCGTGCGCTGAAGTCCGTGATCACAGCCATGTTGGTGGCCAGCCGGTCCATCTCATCCTCCATCTTCCGAAAATCGTTCTTCATCTTTCGGATGGTGTCTGGGAGGGCGAAGGAAAAGGAGATAGCTGGGGGCGCAGACAGAACACTCAACTCGGTCCTCGGTCCAGATGTTCTCACTCACACTCAACCCCTTCCCAAACGTGCCTGAGGCCTCTTCTCCAGGGTCACTATGATCCCATGCGAAAAGGGCGGCAACGCTGTTTGGCCAGGGTAAGGGAGGGGCATTAGGTCAGCGCAGAGGGCGTTTTCTGAGCACCCCTTGTGTACCCCCAGCCCTGTCATGGTGGGGAGACAGCCCGTGGAGCCGCAGTCCCTGCCCTCAGAGGATGCCCAGATCTGAAGGAGGGCACAGGGCACCTGGCAGGGCAGGAACATACATGCTCACTTCCAGAGGCGGCTCCGTGCCCAGCACACTGCCTGATCCAAGGGAGACATTATTTGTTCACCCCTTTCTCCTTCCCTGACCTCCCAGACCCTTGCACTCTCACTTCTGGAAGTATGGTCCAGCTTCCTTGAACGCTCCTTACCTTTTGCCCTGACAGAAACCAACCTAAGGTGGCTGTGCTTCCTTTCACACCCACGTGCCCCAAGGCCATGCTAACATTTCTTAGACAGTTTCTACTCCTGCCTTCAAGACCCCAGCTTCTTTGAAGACTGTGCCATCAAACTGCACCCCTCTACTGTTCTCTTTGCCACACTTCTCAGTTCCTGATCATGGTCACCTCCTTATGGACGTCAACATCATCTACACATTCTTTCTTTTAATTGAAGTACAGTTGATATACACTATTATACTGGTTTCAGGTATACAATACTGTGATTCCACAATTACACGCATACAATACAAAATGCTCACCACAGTGAGCTCTGTCATCATACAAAGTTATGGCAACACTATTGACTATATTCCCTATGCTGTACTTTTCATCCCTGTGACTTATTTATTTTAGAATTGGAAGTCTGTCCCTCTTTATCCCCTTTACCTATTTTTCCCAGCCCCCTACCCCCAGTCTTTAGACATTCTTGGCTCTTGCTCGACCATCTGTTGACCTCAATCCCAGCCATTCTTGCCTCTGCCCCATCTGTGCCACCCTCCCCTTGCCCTCACCAGGGAGTGCCTCCTCTGAAATCTCAGCCTCGAGCCTTGGCACCCTCTGACTCCGATCACTCACCTTCATCAGACCTCTGGGCCCACAGACCCTCACACTTCGCCACCAGTCATGACCCCCCACAGCTGCACTTCCCCCCCTTACTCCTCACCATTGTGCCTGTGCAAGCCCCTTGCCCCTCCTGCCCCCCTCCCTCCATTACTTGTTGGTGAAACCCCACTGCAGGTCAAGCCCAACCTATGCCTACCCTATGCACCTGCACAGCTTAACTGGGCCACAAATCATGCCAACTGGCCTCCCTTTAAATTTATGACTTTGAGTCCCAACACTGCCCATCCATCCTTCCAAACCCTTTGCCTTCTCACTTTCCAAATAAACATTTCTTCCTCAGTCCTTAAAACTCCAATACATGCCCCCAGCTCTCGACTGGTGACTCTGCCTCACGTTTCACAGAGCAAATACAAGCCAACATCAACTCCCTCCAAATCTGCAGAGTGAATGGACAGATCTGCACCTTTTCTCCCTCTTCCAGGGTGGGGTGGGGGTCTCATCCAGCCCCTTGGCTGTAGTAACATGGGCATTCCTGCCTCTCATCCTGGCCAGAGCCCTGCGGGATGACCTACTTAACACTCTGAAGTGGCCGGCAAACAGGCGGAGCAAGTATGACTTGTCCAAAACAGAATTCTTGACTTTCCCCCAAACTGTCCCCGCACTGACGATTTCCATTCTGGCTCCTGGCCATTTCTGGAGAGGCATCTTTGATTCTTCTCTTTCCCTCGCCCCCCAGTTAGTCCATTGGCAAGCTATGTAAGGTCTGCTTCCATCGTTTTCTTTCCAAACCACCGTCATCCTTGTCCAACTACTGACATTTCCCAACTAACCTCCCCAGTTCCACTCCTGAACTTACCATCAATTTTCATAAAGGAAAGAAGGAGGGTGAAGGAAGAACATCTCTCTCATAGGAGACTTTGGTTCACCTCTATCAGTCCATGACAGATCAAGTGGACTATGACCGAGAGAAGCCACAGAAGACCTAAGTAACTAATAAGGTAGACTTACTTGATTTACATTGAATTATTTTTCAAGATTCCATAGAATATGCCAAAACGTTTCCAAATATAAGGTCATATAGAAGATTTCAATAAATTTACAAAGAAAAGACATTATCATTTGGAGAAAAAAATAAAACCTCCTTTTTACTCAGCTATTGGGTCAAAAAGGAAATCAAAACAAACTGCAGCATATGTAAAAATATAACAATGAAAACGCTATAGATTAGAACCTGATAGATAGAGCTAGAGCAATGGCCAGAGAAAATCAGTCTAAAATCATTATATTAATAAATGAGAACAAACATTCAACTCAAAAAGTCAGAAAAAGTACTACAAAAGAAAGCAGAAAAGAGGAATTAATAGAGGTAAAAGCAGAAATTAAAACTTTTTTAAATGGGAGAACTAATGAATAAAGATCAGGGCCACTGAAGAAAGAATAAAAAAACAACATATATAAAATGTTGGCTAACCTCATTTTTAAAAAGGGAAGAAACCAACAAAATAAGAAATAAAGGGACAAATAATCACAAATATGCAAATTAAGACCCACAAGCTACAACTTGGCTCGACTCCAGGTAAAGACAGTGAAAACCTGGATGAAACACATAATTCGCTACAAAAATAGCATTTCCCTAAATGGATCCCAGAAGAATAAAACACATATACCACATATACAGTGAATAGTGAAGGCTGTCAAAGACAGGTTCTCCTTCCCCTCCACACAAAGGCGCCAGGCCCAGAGGACGCCACTGGGGCACTGCCGTAGCTCTGCAGGGCCGCTCATCCCAGTGCCTGTGGAAGCAGGACTCAAGCGAGAAAATCAGAAAAGGTTCCCCTTTAATTTGTAGAACAAACACAACACTGATATGAAAACATGACCAAAATAGCTCAAAAATGAAAATGACACCCTGTCCATCTCTGTCACTACCATCCTGGCGTGAGCTCCCAGAGTCTCGGGTCTCCCGAAAGGGCCTACTCCAGCCACCTCTAATCCATTCCTCCTAGAGCAGCTGCAGAGAGCTTTTCAAAACACAAATCTACCACATCCCTCATCGGCCTAAGCCCCTTGATTGGCTTAGTGCCCTGGTGATAAAGGCAAAATTCCCCAACATGCTCTGATAGGTTAAACTCCACCACATGCAGCTGCCTACCTGGCTCTGCCCACACTCTGCCTTCCCTCCCGCTACAGATGAGGGGCTTTTGCAAGGCCATGCCCCACTTCTGCACCACTAATAAGCAATCCATGCTTTCTTCATTTAGCTTCTAAGATACCAGTGTTCCTGCTGGTCCTCAGTCCTCCCTAGATGCTTCCTTTGTGAGATCTTCCTTCTCATCAAGATTTCTGATTGTCAGGATACCCAGGCTGTCCTCAGACCTCCTCTACCCTCTGCATCTTGCCACCCTAGGAGATTGCATCTTGTTCCATGTATCTCAACTCCAGGCTTCTCTGAAATCCAGATCCCTTGACTAACTATTTCAAATTCAAATCTGGATCATTCCACTTTTCCACTGCTGCCACCCTGACCCACACCACCAACATGTAGTCTGGACTCCTGCAATGGCCTCCTGATGGGTGTCTTAGTCTATTCTCAACAAACTAGTCATTTTAAAACAAAAACAGCTCACTCCATTCTGCTCGTTTCATCTCAATAACCAGCAGGCTCCTCACACCCCTTACAAGTCCCTACATAATCTGGCCCTGCTAACCCTCTACTCTAGTCCCCAGCTCTCCTCTCTGCTAAATTCCCCACTGTCCTTGGAATATACCCACGTGTTCTCAAGCCTCTACCCATGCTGCTTCCTCCCAGCCTCACCCATAGCTGGTTCTTTCTCATTAAGGCCCTGCTCAAATGTCACCACCACAGAGGGCCTATTCTCTGTGGTCTCTTCTCATATTCACCCAGCTAAAGGCAGACCCCACTTTTCCTCTTCCTCTATTTTTTAGTTCTAGCACTTGCTACCACTGTTATTTGTATATGAATCTGTTGTCTGTCTCCCCAGCTAGGATGTGAGCTACAGGCAGGAGCCTGATCTCTCTGGTCCACTGCTATGACCCATGTGCAGAACGGCCCTTGGTGGAAAAAAAGAGAGAGAAAGAGAGAGAGAGAGAGAGAGAGAGAGAGAGAGAGAGGCATACGATGACTATTTCTTGAATGACTATAAGGTTTAACAGTCTTTACAGATTTAGACTCCTGACTCCAACCCTCACTTTATAATTTTCTCCCTCTTTTTAGGAAAAAAGATAAAATACCATACTACCCCTATTAAGCAAGAGCTAAGTCAAAATAGTATACATATTCTACCAAATGGAAAATGCAATGTTTGCAAAATTCCTGTGAGAAATTTCTCAACAAAGAAATGATGATTGTTACTTGATAGAGGTATGAGCAAAGTCTACTCATTGAAACTGCTTCAGATCAGATAAAAGAATAATGACTGTGTTACTATACCTGCCATTGTGATGCTAAGAGAGAGACATCAGAATGAGTCCCCCTCCTCCTGCAGGTTCATGGGACATTCCTATGGTGTGCAGATAGACCCTTGGGAAATGCCTCTAGGCCTGAGTACCTTGAGTCCAAAATTATTACAGAAGATAATGTGGATGACATTCTCTATCATGGTCTCAAAGAGAGAATAAAGAGAGACAGAAAGGGGAAAAAAAAACCTTTACATGATCTTTGTGTCTCTTAATGACATAAATTTTCTGTGTCTTGCCTAACTTAAAAAAGAGAGTTAGAAACAAGTCCATCCTCAAAACAGACCTGAACCAGAGAAGAAAGCTACCGCTAATGAGAGGCACCCTTAGTATCAGGGAAAAAAAGTGCTTCAGATAAATTCATTAAATCTTAAAATTGTATTTTGTCCTTTCTCCCCTCAGTCCTCCAAACAACCCTCTGAGAGCAGCTAGTACCTCTATAGTCCTGACCATAAAAGCTGAGAGGTGAGAGTGGATTAATGTCAGGGCAGAACTGGAATCTGGTCTCCTCCCTCTAAATCTCCTGCTGGTTTCCTCAACCCAGGAGGAGGAACTGGGTTAGTGGGACTGTGAGGGGTGTGTCCCAGTGGGAATCACCTGTGGCTGAGATGAACTTGTTGTAGTTCTCATAGACCAGGGTCTGCATGTCGCTGTCTAGAGCCCGGATCTGCCGCACCATATCTGTTTCACTGTCCATCAGCTGGGCCAGGGGGCACTCTCTACGCAGCTGGAGGAAATTGTGTGATTAGTGTTCAGGTCAGGGGGCAATCATGTCCCTCAGCCTTGCCCTTAACTGGTAGGTTTTCAGTGTAAGAAAACCTTGATCCCACCCGTCAGGAATCCCACACTTGGACCCCGTAAGTGGCATAGCTCAGGAGTTACAAGGTTCGACCCTATTGGGGGTTTGTCTGCATTTGAAATTCTCAGAATCGGCCACAGCCGGGTCCTGAGCCTGTCAGAGCCTGGGCCACGCCCTCTACCCCAGGCCTATCGGAACGTCAGTCCAGGAGACCCCAGACTCTGCAACAACTCAGGCCAGTCCTAACCTGCCCACGCCCCCTTAGACTCCAGCTCTGCCCCTACTGCCTGTCCGAGGGTCGTCCTGGCCGGGAGTCGTCTTCGTTACATGAACCCCTGATTCCCTCACCCCGCAACAAAGTCGGAGGCACAATCTGGGGGTGCAAGGTAGCGGGGACCCGGTCCCCCCCCAACATACACACACCTTGTCCAGATACACTTCCGGGTCGAAGTGTGCCCCGTTGAGATCTGTCGGGTCCAGAGGGTCCGACCCAGTGGGGCGGCCCCCCGCCTCCCCCTCCGAGAGGCCGTAATAAAGCTTCAGCATTCCGTGTGCCTTCCGCCGACGCTCCGGGGCCTCCGCCTCGGGGCCCTCCGGGGAGTCCCCAGGTCCAGACCCCGGGCCAGGACCAGCGGTTGCCGCTGCCATCGCTCCAATTGCAGCCCACAGGCGTGAGGCTGGGAAGGCGATCGGGAGGAGGCACTTCCGGGAGCCATAAAGTTGTTGTTGAAACGAGGCAGTCCTTCAGGTGAAACGTCCCCCCACACCCTGGGTCCTTTAGACTAGTGTTTCCCTGCAGCTTTTCTTCCCGAGCGAAGAGGTTCCGGGAGAACCTGGGTTCCCGCAGCTTCTCAGGTGGAAGACTGTGGAACTGGTCGGGCTGCTGCCATCCCAGAAGGAACGGGTTCGTGGCTCCCAACCCCGCAGCCCCTCAGGCCAGGGCCAGCAGAATATGTCACTGGATGCAATGGACAGAGCACAGGCGATGAGCTGAGAACCTGTGCTTGGCATCCTGCCACTGCCCGTTACCTGGGCAGCGGCTCAGTTTCTACCACTCCTAAAATTGGGGTGCCAACTTCACCCGGAGGCTGCGAGGATTAAATGCGCGTACAGTACGCCGTGCGGGGTGCCTCTAGCGCAGTGTTTCTCCAGACTTGGTCCCTTGACGTATATCCTGCCTGCAAAATTACCTGTGGTGCGTTATGGGACTCTGGACTCCCCCGAGACCTAGCTTCTTTTTAACAAATCCCCAGATAGTTCTGGTGCACTTAAAGATACCATGCCTGGGAGACAAACTCGCAAATTTTAAGTGACTGATGGGATGTGCTGAGGGGGTGGGTGGAGGTGTTGAGGATGAGTCTCAGGTTTCCAATTTGGACAAAGATGCAGTTGTTCACGGAGGTTCTCGAGAACAGGGAATGACATGAAGTTCAAATTGAGACACGCTGAGTGTGAATGGAGAAAACGACTTTAGCAATGGTAGCACTTGAAACATTGATCACCTCTGGTGGGCTGGGCAAGAAGGGTTGAAATGGAAACAACAGGGTCTTGAGGGCCAAACCTGTTATCATAATGGTCTGTGAGCAATGAATTTTTTTTCATTTTTAAATGGCTAAGAAAAAAAATGAATGACATATCATGACATGCGAAAATTATGTGAAATTCATACAATCATGGAGTAGATCTTAAAAGTTCTCATCATGAGAAATTTTCTATGTATGGTCACAGATAACTTATTATTTTGAAGTACAGTCAATCCTTGAACACCATGAGAGTTGAGGGTGCTAACTTCTCTGCCCTCAAAAATCCACCTATTTTGTCTCCCCAAGAACTTAACGAGTAGCCTGCTGTCAACTGGAACCCTTACGGATAACATGAAGTCAAACAACATATTTTGTGTGTTAAATGTATTATAGACTGTATTCTTACAATAAAGTAATCTAGAGAAAATGTTACAATAATCATGAGAAAATACACTTAAAATACAGTACTGAAAAAAAAATCCACATATAAGTGGACCTGAGCAGTTCAAACCCATGTTGTTCAAGGGGCAACTGTATATACGAATATCGAATCGTTATGTTGTACACTTGAAACTAATATGTCAATTATATCTTAATTTTTAAGTGATTTTCATAAAATCATGAATTGTGTGAAATTATGTTTATAGTTTTATTTGAACACAGTCATGCCCCTTTGTTTACACATTATCTAGGACTACTTTGGCACTACAACAGCAGAATTGAGTATTTGCAACAGATATTATATGGCTGGCAAAACCTAAAACATTTACTATGTTGTCCTTTACAGAAAGTTTGCTGACCCCTGAATCTGTGTTCAGAGATGTGTGAACTATGTTTAAAAGGGTGTACAGAGACTGTTCAAAAATACTTATGAAGATTTCAGCCTATGAAGCCATAATCTTCAAAACTGAAGAATATGAAGATTTAAACCTACTCCAAGAAGTCTATAAACTTAAGAAGTTACACAGAATAGTGTTAAGAAAAATTATCCACAGCTTAGAAAAAAGACCAAGAATGTAGCTAGATGTTAGCTAGACTTAGGATCATTTGGTCTTTCATCCCAGTGTCACACGGGGGCATTGTTTCACAAGCAAGCCCACCAAGGATTATTTAATTACTACAGGAACGTACATTTGATTTTGCTATTTACTATTAAGGGTTGACACTGAAATTACAAGTCAATATTGTCTAGGAGAGATGCAGAACATTATATCCAGTAGGAAAAATAACCTCAAAAGTTGTAATTTTTATTGCCCTGCAGGACATCAAGCAATTTTGTATCTCACCTAGTAATCACATTCTAACACTCCCCTTTCAGTGCCTGTCGTATCCAGCTCCCCATGATGTGTAACCACCTTACTGAGGGAGACCCCTCACTGATGAATTAGTACATCTTAGTTATATGTTCATTCTGTAGATACTAACGTTCTGAAAATTACACTTTGATAATACATCAGTGATTTTAATGTTTTAAAATGCTGCATGTATATGAACATTTCAATACATGAAAATACATCAAGAAGGGACCCAAAAGATGTTCACTCATCAAAATGTTGAAGGGGTTACTTCTGTTGGGGTGGGGATGGAGGGAAACTACATTTTCCTCTGTATACTTGTGTATTATGTAAATTTTTTACAAGAACATATTCACACACTACTTGGACAATTTTTGAAATGGCATTGAGCTAGAAGCCCTCATGTGTAAAAGTTCAATTGTATTCCCATGAACTCTGAGATGCAAACAACTATTTCAACAGTGAGGACCATAGCTGGGCCTTGGGGCATCACCCCTTTAGTGTTAGAATGGGGGTCCAAGGGGCTGCTGTGATGGACACTGTGCAGCAAGCACGGATGAGGTCAGGCCGCAACCCTACCGCTTCCATGGGGGAGACTTCAGGATTGGCCTCATCTGGGAACTAACTTCTGGGGCAGAAAGGCAGGCAGGAAGCAGTGGGATAGAGATCAAGTCTCCCCTCTTCTACTTTACTTCCTAGGAGCTCTTTCATCTCCCTCCACACCATTTCTGGCCTTTTTTCTGGCTTATTTTGTTGATAGTCTTGGAGTTTTACTCTTACACGAATGGAGGAAATGTTTTCTTCTTGGCCTCCGACGGTCCCTGCCCTGCCACAGTCTTGGTAGAGTCGAATCTCTCAGCACGGACTCCCTCCCTCATTGGCTATGAAAGCTGAAGCTGAAAATCCCTCTCTGTCCCTCAGACTTGTTGTGTTAAATAGGTTTCAGGCCACCAGCCCCAGATTTCTCCTGAAACTCTTGGAATGATAGAGATGATGGGTATGAAAATGCTCTGGGTGCTGGAAGGTGGCAGAGAGGGGAAACCTGGTCAGCATCAATTCCTGAAAGAACGTCTGGGGAGAGAATGGGGAAGCCAGTTGCTCTCTGGGCACACCTGGGGTGGGAGACAAGGGGAGCATGAGGAAGGTCCCAGGACAGCTAAGGGAACTCTGCTGCCCCTTCCCTTAGTTCCTCCCAGCCCAGGCCTCCCTCACCTGGCAATGCCTTCTAGCTTTACATCTGGGTCCTGATCTTTCTGCCGAAGACTAGCTGTGGACCTAGGATGTGCCACTTCACTTCTCTTGAATCCGTATCTTCATCTGTAGAATGCACCCACGCCACCTCCTCGTTGAGCCAGAGAGGACTCACAAGAGCACAGCACCAGGTGGGATGATGAGGGACTCTGTCCCTTCATCAACACAACAGGCCCCAACTGATCTTTTAAGCCACCACCCCTCCACAATTCAGAGGTCCCCGCCACCCATGAAACACTCCTGTATTGGCTGGAACCAGCCTGTTCTAGAATCTTGTCCCTTCCAATGTTCTCCTGGTTCTAGGGTCCCACTGTTATTCCAGACTGTGCACTCTAGAACCAGGGGGGTCAGCTGCTTTTCCTGGGCAGTGTCAGCCTGCTCAAGCTCTGCTGTCAGACCCGCCGTTACTGCTAGGATGCGGTGGCGGGACCACATGGCCGTGCTCTTCTTCCCGCAAGGCATGGTGCTCAGTGTGGCTGCGCTGATGCTCTTCTTAATACACCTGGGTGTCTTTGCCAGTGACGTGCACCATTTCTGCATCACCCACCACTATGACCGCATGAGCTTCCGTTACACAGTTGTCCTGATGGTAGGCTGGGGCAGCAGCTCAAGGGCTGATGGGGGGAGGCCCAGGGGCTGATGGAAACCTCACTGTTGTGTTAGGGGGCCACTCTCCCACCACACTGGGCCTACAGTTCTCCCAGGTTATCAGCATCTGCTGGGCCGCCACGGGGTCACTCTATGCTGAGATGACAGATGACAAGTTTCTTCGATGCTTTGGCCTGACCACCCTGAGTGAGTGGGGGAGGGATGCCCTAAGGAAGAGGGGCTTTGGAATCCTGAAATGCAACAAGAAAGGGGCTGGGAAGGCTGACGGGGGCTCTCTCCTCCATCCAGTGCTCAACGGAGCCATGTTCTTCAGCCGCCTGTCCCTGGAGTTTCTGGCCATCCAGTACCGGGAGGAGAACCATTGAGGTCTGGGGACTGGGCTGCAAAGGGCGAAGGAAGAGGAAGCTTCCGTGTTTTAATAAAGTCTGTAGTTTATTTCCACCTGTCAGCTCCTTTGTGGGGTGCAGGGTGGGAGGCAGAGACCCAGGGAAGCAGGTCCAGACAGACGTCTGACTTGTAGGGACCCCAGGCCCGGCCTGCAGCCGCGCTGGTGGACTCGGCTTTGGGCCTGGGATCTTAGTGTCTCAGGCTTGAGGGAGAGGAGCAGAGGAGGGCGCCCAGACCTGCACGTCCCCTCCTCAGGCCCCCAGGTCTTAGGCTGGCCCAGCCACAAGCAAGGGCTCAAGAGGGACCCACACGGATGTGAGGGTTCATGAGCGGGTCCAGGTTGGGATCACTGTCAGCCGCAGCCCGGCCCAGACGAGACATGAGGGCCAGGAGGGCCAGGAAGCCCAGCAGCCCGAGCAGCAGCAGCAGCCCCGCCCGCTGGAGCAGGGTCAGTGGCCGCTTATGAGACCCTGCCCGGCTCCTGGGGGCCGAGGGGAAAGTCAGGTCAGGCCCCCAGTCCCTGACAGCCCCCATGGCCCAGAGAGGAGCCCCCGTCAGGACACCCGCCTTCTGACCCTGACACCACCATCCCTGAGCCTGTTTCCTCAAGTGTGCCACAGGGCAGACACCCCTGCACTTGCCCCCCACCTAGGCGACCGTGAGCACCAACCAGCTGAGGCCGTGCTGTGCTCTGGAAACAGGGTGGTGTCAGGCATGGGAAAGTCATTGACGGTAGGAGCAGGAAGGAGCCTCAGAGAGCATGAGTCTAAACCCATACCGGGCAGAAGAGGAAACAGCCCCAGAAAGGGTGGACCCAAGCCTTCTCCTGCCAAGTCAAGGCCTCTCCGTTCAGCCCTGACACCAGTTCGTTATTAAAGCCCCTCCTGTCATGAAACCACTGCACACAGGCCTCTGGCTCTCCCTTCCTCTCCCCTCCCTCCCTGGCATCCTGCCCACCAGACTCCGCTTACCTGAGCAGCTGGGCCAGCCAGCCCAGAGCAGGCCGGCGACGGTACTTGTCATCATCACAATCCCTGTGGTGGCCTGGTGTCCGGTCATCATCCCGCGTGTCATACACCTTCCTTGGGGCTGAGGCTGCAGGGGCAGACCCACCGGCATCCACAGACTCAGGCAAACTGGCCTGCAGCAGGGTGACAGGTGGGGAGGGCAGGAGGTCCTTGCCCCTCCCAGCGTGACAGAGCACCTCAGAAGTGGGGGGAGGTAATGCCTGTACTTTGAGTGAGGAAGGGTCCCTCCAGGTGGGTCTCTGGACCCCTGAGGTCCCTCCACCCAAACTACCGAACTCCCTTTCCACCCTCCTCTGGCCTGGATGAACCCCCGGCTCACCGTGAGGCAAGGGGTCCGAACTGCCCATGTGGATCACTGTGTGCTGCTCTGACCGGCTTGGGGAAGCAGGGGGCCGGGAGGCTTGGCTGTAGAAGGCTGGGGCAGCAGAAGCACTGGCTAGCTCGTCTTGTTCAGGGGTACCATTGGCTGTGGCAGGAATACAGCGGTCAGCCGAGTGAGGAGGCAGGGGCTCCAAAAGCAGGAGGGACCACAACTTACCATGAAAGCTGGACCAGTCAGAGAAGTCAGAGGTGTTGAGGTGCTCAGGCTCCGGATCCACCACCTCATCAATCTGGAGAAGGAACGTGTGTCACCAGCCTGCCCAGTGCTGGCCCAAGTGGGACCCAGGGTAGATGGATGGTCAGACAGAGGGACTCTCACCAGAGGAAGGCCCAGTCCTGCCCGGGCCCAGTTGACTGTGGCCAGCTTCTCTCTCAGCGCAGAGGCCACAGGGCCAGCCAGGTTGGTAGGGGGGAAGATGGGGCCACTGCAGCTGGGGCACTGGTAGCCAGCAGGAGCCGTGTTTTGGGGTAGCTGGGCGGCACGTTCATTGAGGCAGGCCCAGTGAAAGAGATCTTAGGGCCCATGAGACAGGGAAGGAGAGGTGTGAGGAAGACACTTAGGACCCCCAGCTCAGCAATAGCTCCCAGCCCACTGCAGGGACATATGCACACATTCTAGTAAGCCCAGAGCCTTCTTCCCATCTCTACCCTACCCAGGTCCATTTCATCAGTGTCCCCTAAGACTTCGGCCTTCTTGGCTACCACTGTCTTAAGTCATGGCAGATGCTACCAAGCTCCTCAGCCCACTAGAGGGCCAGGGCGGGAGGGAAGAAAATGCTACCTACCCCTTTCAGTGAGTCCTCTCTGGACCTGCACCCATCACAAGCTCCTCAGGCTAACAGCTAACCAAGAACGGTTATAGAAAAGATTCCTAGACATACACACAGGCACACGTACACATTCTTGGGCACAAACATACATGTGCTTGTATATGCATAACCAAACACAAATGCCATCCCTGTAGCTACACTTCCAGGCACCCTCTCATGTATACACATCTCTACTCTCATACATTTGTTAATACTCAAGCACCCTCACCCACACATTCTCCTGCAACCCCATAGCACCTATGTTCACACACATTTACCCATTACTCAAGTACTAATAAACACACACAACGGAAAGACATCATACACACTAAATTTATGCACATATTATACACACACATTCACACCAAGAAACATACATAGAACTCATTCTATTGCACTAGCCCCTTCAAAATGTGGAACTAAGACTCCTAATCTAGAGTTAAGGTATCTGCCCATTCCCTTTCATTGACTTTATTATGGGAAACTCACTTTCTCTGTTTAATCTGGGTATTAGCAATGGAATCCAAATGTCTGAAAGTCCCATGCTACTGCCCACAGCCACAACCACACCCACAAGTTTGACTGGCTCTTGCTCAACCCTCAACACTGGCAAAGAAGAAACTAGGAGCTTTAATTTTTAGGAAAAGACACTGAGACCTAGAAAGGGAAAATGACTTGCCTGGGCTACACAGCAGGTGTAACTAGGACTATAATCTGGAGCTCCAGCCTCCCAAACTTGGGGGTCTCACTGTCTTGCTGCTTAGGGAGGGCCTGGAAACCAGTCACCAATTTGGGCCTTTCCTTATCCCCTCAAGGTGCCCAGGCCTCACCGTAACAGACGAGGCGGGTCGTCTCCCGGGTGGCCAGGGGTATGTTGCACAGGCGGCAATTGGGGTTGTAGTCACTATCTTGGAGCCACTGCAGGTAGGACTGGACGATGCACTGGAGTGGGAGAGAAAGGTCACAACCGGAGCAGGGGCTCCAAAGCCCATCTCCTCAAGGCCCGACTGTCTCTTTTTATCTCATCACAGAGGAGACTCATTCTTTCATTTATTCGATCAATCAACATTTATTGAGCACATACTGTGTGCCAGATTCTGTCTTAATGGCTGGGGATATGAGCTGGGAACAAAGCAAACTAAGTCCTCGCCCTCATGGAGCTTCCATTCTAGCGCCAGGCTCTACTGGATTTTAGATAAAACCAATACTGACTGTCTACTCAGCGCCCTACTCAGGTGTTCCCCTGATAGCCCCACCTTGGCGTGATTGGCTACCAGGCAGTGCTCGCAGACGTTGACCCGGTGTTCGAAGCAAAACAGGTTGGTCACCTTCCTCTTGGGGCACTTGCAAAGCCCCATAGCCGACCCTGAGGAAGGGGTCTGAGTTGGTGGGGAGCCAGGTTCTACTAGCTGCCACTAGACACTCCCCAGCCCGGTTCGTTTCCACCCTTAACTCCCCTACTCGCCTCATCTTGGCTCCACCCCCAAATTCCTGTCGCTTGCCCCTCTTCATTCCGGGCCACGCCCCCTGCATAAATCCTGCCTTCTAAGACCCCTAACGTCTTCCGGATCCCACCCAAGCCAGGTCCCTCCATCGGTGTCCCACGGATACCACCGCCCCGCCCCCAAGGGCCCCTGCTGAGCCCCACCCCCCCCAAGTCCCGCCCCCGTCTTCTCAACAGACCCCACTCTCCGTGTTACTGATCGACCCGCCGCACCGGTCTCGACGGGCGCGAGCACCGGTTCGAGGCGGGGAAGGACAGACACCGCTCTTAGCAGAGCCCCGGGTCCGCTCTCTCCTCCTCGGGAAGCTCCTATTACTCCTCCGCTGCCACGTCTCTTCCGGGTGCGGCGCGCTCTGAGGACGCCAGCGCGACACTGGCCCCGCCCCTGATGTCGCCATACGTGAAGACGAGTAGAAAAGGGTGAGGCGTGCACGGCTGCCCTCCCGCTTTCGTCACTTCCGCTTCCTCCCAGGTAGGGCGGGTAATTCGAACTCCTGTGCCTCTGGCTACCCTGTCATTGGCTCGAGCCCCGGCGGCGGCGGCGGCGGCAGCGGCGGAGGAGCAGGAGGAGGTGAAGGAGCAGGAAAAGGAGATCGAGACCAAGGCCAGATATGTCCGAGAGACGAACGCGGTCCGGAGGGGCCGCCCAGCGCTCTGGTGAGGGGAGGGCGCGCGGGAGAATGGGGCCGAGCCACTTAAGGGACGCAGTCCCGTGAGGAAAGCCCTTCCCCCACCTCCCTAGGAGGCTCGCCCCCCCCCCGCTCCAGGAAGGCGCCCCCAGAGGGCTTTTTGCCCCTCCCCTACAACTGTTTTCTCTTTACAGGGCCTGGGAGCCCATCTCCTAGGTCTCTGCGGAGGACCCAGCGGAAATCAGGCTCTGATCTCCCGGGCATCCTCCCCGAAACCTGGCCGAAGGTAAGCCCTGGCTTGCCCAGTTCCTGATCCGGAGGCCCCTAGACTAATGTAGAGCTCACGTCCACCCCTCTTCTCCAGGCACCCCATGCGGCTCCAGTCAGAAAGCCCATCGTCTTGAAGAAGATAGTAGCCCATACTGTAGAGGTGAGGGTGAAGAGAGGGGTTGTGGGTGGGGAGCCAAAATTGGGACCCTGCTGTATGATCAGTAAGTGTTGTCTCCACAGATCCCATCTGACCACACGCCTCGAAGGAGCCCTAGGGTGAGTTCATTTTCATCTGTTTAGTTTAATGGAATCCATGACATACGTCAAAAATGCGCTTGATGCACCTAACCTGTCCACTATCATAGCTTAGCCCAGCCTACCTTAAACGTGCTCAGAGCACTTACATTAGCCTACAATTGGGGAAAATCATCAAATACAAAGCCTATTTTGTAATAAAGTGTAGAATAACTCATAATTTACTGAATATTGTACTCAAAGTGAAAAACAATGGTTGTGTGGGTAGAGAATAGTTGTAAGTATGTCTATCAGTTGTTTACCCTTGTGATTATATGGCTGACAGTTACTGCATCTCAAGGCTGCTGCCTTGCATCACACCATATCTTACTGCATATTGTTAGCCGGGGGAAAGATCCAAATTCAAAATTTGAAGTATGGTTTCTACTGAATGTGTAGCACTTTTGCATCATCATTAAGTTAAAAAATCATAAGCTGAACCATCATTAAGTCAGGGACCATCTGTATCTTGAAACAATTTGCAAATATGTGCCTGAACGTAGACTGAATGAGAAATACTAGCTGTCTTTAAGAGTTCATGGGGCTTACAGTCAAGTGGCAAGAAGGACAAATAACAAGTGTGGTGAGGAAAGTACTAGATGCGGGGAAGCACCTAAGCAGCCCAAGTGACTCAGGGAATGTTTCACAGAAGAAATGTTTAAAATGAGTCTTCTAAAGACAAGTAGAAGTGTTCTGGGCAAGAGAAGATATGTTTACAGAGACCTGGAGTCCATAAAGAAAACCATGAGCTTTGGGGAACGGCAGCTTGTTCGGCGTGTCTCTGGCAGACCTTGTCAGGAGAGGGGGCGCGCTGCGTCAGAGGAGGTCCTGATACGCTGTGAAAGCCACACGCAGGAGCTTGGGCCTCATCCCTGGCTCTGTGGGCAGCCTCTGGAGGGTCTCAAGCAAGGGAGTCACTGAGGCAAGCTTGAGTGTTTTAGGAAGACCCCTTTGGGTTCGGATGGAGAATGGGTTGGAGAAAACCTGCCAGGAGCCCCAAGACCAGGAATCCTAGAGTGAGATGGGCCTGAAGTCAGGTGATGATACAGTGATGATGTTCCCCCCGGGCTCGCCACGTGACCATCCCATCGCACTGGACTCGCCTCCAAGACACCTTTTCCCAGCAGCCTTCCCTGACCACCCCTACCCTATCACAGTCACATTTTCTGATACAGTTTTCCTTAGGCCTTATTAGTAGCTGAGAACATTTGTTTGGCTGTTGTCTGGAGGACAGAGACTTCTGCCTCTACCATTATAGCACTCATTCTTGTTAGTTGAATGACAGATTCATGAGATATTGAGCAAAAAAGCTGCACAGACTTGGATGACTGCTTGGCCAGAGGCTGTGGAAGTAGTCAGGGTGACCCCTTTTTCAGATTCCTTTGTACTGAGACTCATACGGCAGATTCCCCCACACTTGTAGCCTAGAAAGTCTAGATAACTGAGGTAGTTCCTTCTATTATACCACAAGAGTCATCAGATTTGTCTTGTTTCCACCTTGTCTTGGCTGCCAGAAAGTTTGGTGCCAAGTTTGGTGTACACTAATTCAATGAGTATTTATTGAACACCTTCTACATGCAGGGCTGTGCTGAAGGTGCTGGGCATCAGCAAGGTTAACCAGATGAAGTCCCCTGATCTCATGAACCTCACATCTAGTTGGGGTGACAGTTGACCAGTGAGCAAGCCAAAATGAGACAGTGATGGTTGCTGTACAGGAAAGAGGTCACTGTATGTGACCAAGAGATGAACACGGACCGGAGGGTCTGTTCCTTTCCTACTACTCACTTCAACCACACTGGCCTTGTTCCTTGACCCTGACTGGCACACTTGCACGTCAGGACTTTGGCACCTCTGTTCCCTCTGCCTAAAACACTTTTCTTCCAGATAACTCACTCCCTCATCTTCAATTTGCAGCTCAAATGGCATCTCAGTGAGGCCTACATTGACCTTCATCTATTTAAAATTCCAAGTCACCCCCAATACTCTATCCTGTTTTGTTTTTACCCAAAGCACTTACTGCCTCTAACAGACTACATGATTTTCCCAATTTGTTATATGTGTCCCCTGCTAGAATGGAAGCTCCATGGAGAAAGGGACTTTATTCCCTGCTGTACTCCCAGTGCCTAGAACCATACAGTTGATCAAAGGAACTTATTGATGGGATTGGCATTTTAAGAAAATCATCACCAGCTGTGTGACAGATGGACCACAGAGGGCAGGGTGGAAGCAGGCCGAGCAGTGAGGTTGCGGAGCTGGTCTAGATGACAGTGACATGTACTGGAGCTTGCATCAGTTAGAGGTGGCTAGATGCCAGTCACGTTTTGGAGACAGCTGAACAGAGGGCAGGGTGGAAGCAGGCCGAGCAGTGAGGTTGCGGAGCTGGTCTAGATGACAGTGACATGTACTGGAGCTTGCATCAGTTAGAGGTGGCTAGATGCCAGTCACATTTTGGAGACAGCTGGCAGCAGATGGTGTCAAGTTCTTGCATGAAACAAGTGGACGCCAAGGCAATGATGGATTGTTCTTTCTTTCCCCTCCCCACGTCTGTCTGAGGCTCAGATCTGCTGCCTGAGCCATCATCTTTTTTCCTTTTAGAAGTGTCCTGTGTCCTGTGGGTCTTTGTCCCCACCCTAAATCTCAGGCCTCTCTGGAAGTGATATAACTGAGTAACAGGGAAGCATTCTCTCTTCTGTCCTGGCACAGATTGCTTTTTTCTTGGAGAAGGAAAACAACCCTCCTGGCAAGGAGCCTCCTGGGGAAGACCTCTTCCAGACCTGTAGTATCCCTGTCCCTCCTACCCCCACTCCTGTGCTGGGCACCCTCAATGTTGAGTCCAACACCAGGGAGGGAGACCTGGACGCCAGAGACGTGGAAATGTCCAAGAAAGTCAGGCGGTCCTACAGTCGACTGGAGACCCTGGGCTCTGCTTCCACCTCCACCCCAGGTCGCCAGTCCTGCTTTGGCTCTGAGGGGCTGCTGGGGGCAGGGGACTTGGCTGGAGTCTCGCCTGTGATGTGTTCAAAGTTACCTGAGGCCCCCAAGGTCCCTGAGAAGACCTGGGCCCCAGACACGACTCTCCCTGGAATCTCCCCCCCAGTCGTGAAAGAGAAACGAAAGAAGAAGAAGGTGCCGGAGATCCTGGTGAGTGAAGGGCAGGGTCCTTCCTCTGCCATCATGCCAGGCACACTGGGAGACATGGGACCCATGCCAGGCCAGGGCTCAGCTCCAGCTGTTGCTGGGGAAAGGCAGCACCTGCGGGGTATGGGTAGAGATGCTGCAGCCAACATGCCCCTTCCCCACTCACTTGCCATTCATTTCTCTTCCCCCAGAAATCAGAGCTGGATCAGTGGGCTGCGGCCATGAATGCAGAGTTCGAAGCTGCTGAGCAGTTTGATCTCCTGGTTGAATGAGATGCATTGGGGTACACCCGGCCAGGCTCTTCCCTGTCCCCTGTACATAGCGTATTCTACCTGTGGAGAAGACACTTGGGGTCCCTCCCCTGGCCTCATTACCTGTGCATGTCCTGTTGCCACACGTGCGGCCTGTCCTTTGATGGCCTGTGTCATAGCAGCAGCCACCTCACCTCAGGAGAGGGGTCCCACCTGGCCGGGCCACACGATGGTGTCCTGTCTGTAGTCAGTGACCCATCATCTTGTCCTCCCTGCCTCCCAGAGGATCGCAGCCAGAGGAGGTTAAAGGGCTGGCTGAGGGTGCCACGGGCCATGGCTGGCTGCTGGCTGTCCCCGCTGTGTTGCCTTCTTTTGGCTTGGTTCCCAGTCACAAACCCATCTACCTAAACAGGCTTGGGTTTCCTCTTAGATCCTGTGCATGGTCCAGGTGAGAACTGGTAGATTTGGGACAGTACTCTCTGTGAGGAAGAAGCTGGACACTCCGCCTCTGGAGTCTTACGTTTTGAAGGAGGGTACGAGGCCTTGGTTGGGTCTCAGACCATTAGTGTGTGCTACGTAGAATTCTGCTTTATAGTTCTGTGTTCTGATGTTGAGAGGTTTGGTTAATACCAGGCTGACCGCAGTGGCTGCTTGGGACAAAGAGGGTGCATTTCCAGGTGTGGCCGCTAGGTGCCCAGATTCCAGGCACCATTGAACCTGAGTCTTGGGGCATCGACTGTACACCTTGCCCAGAGCTGGGAAGGGTCCTCTAGTAGGAGGCAACCCCTCTTACACTCACACCCATTTCCTAGAAAATAAAGTGCACAGGGTCTTCTCTGCTCTAGAAGAAAAACAGGAATTGTCCTAGTTCCAGGAAGCTTTTCTCACTTGCCAGGAAGGGGCAGGGTCGGGAGCGGTTTTGCCTTTTAGCTCCCTTAGTGTGCTCCTGTGAGGGAGCTGCTGGGAGTCGGCCTGGGCAGAGGGGATGTCATCCCATTGTCTCCAGGGAACCCTCCTCCCCAGCCTGCTGCTCTTTTCTCACTGCTGGTAAAAGGGGTGCTTTCACGACTCCTGCCATACCTTAGGCTGTTGCACCTTTTCACATTTACAAGTTCGGGGAAGTAGAGGCTGAGAGGAGCATGGGGGTGCCAGTGGATAGCAGAGCACCAGGGAAGAGGGCTGCTTCCTTGGTTGGGGTCTTCATGAAACCCTTTGCAAGGCCTGGGAATCCCAGGCTACCTCTTTGATGCTTCGTGCACTGGCAGATCCTGCAAGCAAACCCCCTTGCCAGGGCGGCCCAGACACCTCTGCACTGGACTTCACCTGCACCATTCTTGTCTTTACTGGCTGGTGGGAAGTGTCTTAGTTCTGCAGAGTCAGGAGTAACTAGATGATATTGAGTTGATGTCACTGCAAACTTCTCTCTGTCCCTGAAAAACTAAGAATGTGGAATTTAAGGGAAAATTGGGGGTTCTTTTTCAAATTAAAATTTTTTTTGATTATAGAGTTTCTGCTTGTTCCTGGACTGTTTCTTCCATGGACTCAAAGGCAGAGCTGAGGGTGTGAGGCAAGTAAAGCCAGGAAGCCAGGCCTCCTTTGGTCTGTCACTAGGACTGTCCCTTTGGACAGGAGCTGCTGGCCAGCCTCCAGTGGCCCTATGGTAGATACAGCCTTGCACCCATGTCTGTTTTTTCTGTCCAAGTATCCACACCCACATCTTCAAGGCAGAGCTTGCCTGGAAAGGCCTCAAGGAGTCCCAGGCTCTCTTGTCCCAGGAGGAAAGGCCGGGTCTTGGCTGAAGCTGCGGAGTGTTTCAGCAGCTGTGCGTGGGGCCAACGCACACCCGCCAGTCCAGCCCTTGTTCCCCTGCCCGCCTTCCTGTCAGGCTCCTGTGACCAGGAGCTCCTCACACCAGCCTGGCTGGGCCCCTCTACAGCACTGGGTGCAGAGCCCCCTGGGGAGCTGGTCAAAGGAGCAGAGTGCTGGGGATCCTTCCCCTTGGTCTGAGGAGGCTCAGGGACCCCATGTAGATGGCACACATTCGTCTCCCTTCATCTCATTCTTACACTTGTCCTGGCTTCCCGGTCCTTGTGTCAGAACAAGTCAAAGCTTTTAAATTCTTAAATTCTTCACACGGACTCCCCAAACCCCCCTCCTTCCATCTCCCCCGCCCAGAGGAGAGTGTTCCCCACTACAAGGCCAAACTTTCCACTTCGGCTTCTGATCCGGTTTTCTCATCTCTGAGACCTTGCTTCTCTTTGCTACCCATCTTAAACAGTGTTCATTTTATTGTTTAAAAAACAACCAAAAAAGTCTTAACCAGCATGTTTTTAGCTATTCCCAATACTCCTCTGAGGGTTAAGCTCCTTGAAGAATGTTCCAAAGTTGTGTCCTGCTTCTGTCCCATTTACTCCGGGTTCCCACGTCACTCCGTTTACTGCCCTGGCAGAAGTAACCGGTGATCCCCCTAGTGCCTGAGCTGCAGACTCGGGCCTCTGCAGTCTGGGCTGAGAGCACCCCTTGGGCCATGACACTGCTGGCCCCTCTCAGCTTTCCCTGAAATGTCAGGACACCCAGGTTCAGTCCTGGACCCTATTCCCAATCTGCTTGCTCTCCGGAAAACCTCAGGCCCTTTGGGCCACCTCCTTGCTCAAGCTTTGCCAGTCTTTACCTCCAATCACATCTCTCCTGGGTTTCAAACCAGAATCTTAAACCGTCTTCTAGAACTTTATCTTGACTTAGAAGTCATGTCAAACTCAGCTCACCCACCAGCTCGCCTCTCCTCGTGCTCTCCCTGCCCTTAGCATTGCCACCAGCTGACCTAGTCTCACAGCAAGAAACCTTGGGGTCATTTGCAGCTCTACTCCCCCCTTCCCCGTCAGCCCCAGCCTCTGCCACATCCCTCTGTCCCACTGGACAGTTGCACTGGCCTTTTAGCTGGTCTCCCTTTCATCTCGCCTCCTCAGACTGTCCACACTGTGGCCGGAATGAGTTTCCCAGGAGAAAATAGATCGTGCTTGTACCTTGCATACAACTCTTTGATGCAATTCCACTTCCAGGTATAATACCCCAAAGAATTGAAAACATATCCCAAGAGGTATTTATATACCCATGTTCAGACATTGCTCACAGTAGCCAAAAGGTGGAAACAACACAAATGTCTGTTGAGGGATGGTGGATAAACAAAATGCAGTGCATATGATGGAATGTTATTCAGCCTTCAAAGGAATAAAATTCCGGCACTTGCTACAGCACGGACGAGCCTTTAAAGCAGGTTAAGTGAAATGAGCCAGACACAAAAGGACAAGTTCTGTGAGATCCAACTTGCCTGAGAGACCTGGAGTAATCAATTCATAGAGGGGGCCTGCTGGTGGCTTGGGGTGCAGGGCTCGGGGAGGTAGTGTGTCATGGGGACAGGGTTTGTGGGAAGATGAGAATGTACTGAAGATGGGTAGTCATGATGGTTGCTGTAAGTCCAGGGACAGAAAGTCCCAGGGCAAAACACCTCTAGAAACTGAAATCAGTCAAAGGGAGAAATAGTTTAAAATCCGTTTATTGCTTACAAACTGCAGTCCGGCACATCTCTCTCCTCAAGCAACAGCAAAACCAGCCCTCCCCCTCCCCTCTCAGGTACAGATAAGCCCTCCTTGCCCAGGTAATTATATGGAATTGAACCTGTCTCCACCCCTGAGGAATGATGCAAATACACTAAAGCCAAATTTTTTCCACCTCTGAACGTCTGTTGATACGCAGATGTACTAAAGCCAGGTGAGATATTCTGGAAATGTTAGAATTTTACCCACATCTTAAACTTTTTGCTCAAATTAGCCAGCATTATTTCTTCTCTGCTGTCCAGATCCCTGCTGCTTCGGGGGCATCCAGACTCCTTAGCAGGGCTTATAAGGACTTAAGGGCTGAGGCCAGGGGCCACATGTCCAGTCTGAAGGCCGACAGAACCACTCTAGGCTGTAGGCTGCCACAAGGCCCATACCAGACCTTTGCCAGGCTGCTCTCTGCCTCACAGTGATGCGGGGTTCTTGTTTGCGGAGCCGAAGAATGAGCTTTACAGTCAGTCAAGGTAGGAGAGCAAGGTACAGGCTTTTATTTAGAGATACAGTGAAAGGACAGAGCTCCCGGCTCACGCCAGGAGGGGACAAGAGAGTCCGTGGTGGTGCGTTGTCTAGGGGGTTTTATAGGCAGTTGAGGATTTTTCGAGAACATCAAAATACTTAGGGGAGGGGCTTGTTAAGTGGTCCCTGAATATTAAAAATTAACTGTAAGGAATTTCCTGCCTTGATTTCTCTCCGGGACACCAGCGCCTTGGTCCGGGAGGACATCAAAGGACTGCCTGCCCAGCCCCCAAGGTGGGCCGAGGTATTATCTACTTGCTAAAGAATCTTGCCTCTTGAACTTTCCGGGTATTAAAATGCAATCTTATCTTTAAGATGGAATTCTTCCTGCCTTTTACCATGCCGTCTGCAGCTGGGTCTGCAGCTAAGTTAGTTGCTCAGTTTGCAAAATCACCTCGTCAGATTTGAAGGAGGAAAGACAGCACCTAGGCCTGGGCCTTTTAGCATGCTAAAGTGAATCTTACACATGGTTACAAATGATTAGCATAATAAAACATGTGCTACTCTTCTTTATCTGGGGAACATTAACTGATCTCACTGAAGAATGATTCTAGAGCTCAATGTTTAACATAGAGTTTTAGCAGGGGGGGGTTTCCTTGCATGTAGTTACATTGCTCTGACTGCAGATATCCTGCCCTGCCCCCTCCAGAGGCCCTCACCCTACTCTGACTACATCCACGGTCCCTGTCTCACGAGGACAGATTGGGATGGTGTCAGGGAGTGGCTCCTAGCTGGTCTGAGCAGAGGCTTATTAAGGAGAGTGGAATATGAGGTGGATTAGAAACGAGTGTCCACAACGGAGGCTCCTGAGTGCGGCACTGTTTGCTTCTCCCATGTCCAACTGACCAGTGATTTCTACACCAACAATGCAGGGATTCTCCAGTTCTTTAAAAGCTTCTCTAGGATTCCTTTAAACAGTGCCATCTCCACCTCCTTTCTCCTCAGCCCCCACCTAGTTTGCAGTGATTCAGTCTGTAAAATGTTGTTAGCATGTAGCATTGGTGGGGCTGCCAGATAAAATACAGGACAGGACAGACACTCAGTGAAATTTGAATTTCAGATAAACAATGAATCATTTCTTAATGTATATCTCAAACATTGCCCAGAATACACTTATACTTTTTAAAGTATTTTGTTTTTCATCTGAAATTCAGATTTCACTGGGTGTCCTGTATTTTATTTGCTGAATCCGGTAACTCTAACTTGAGGGATCTGGTTTGCTGGATGGAAGCTGGTGGAGGCTGAGGCAGGCTAGAGGCTGTCCCAAGGAAATCAGAGGACACTGGGGAGGGGAGGCCAGCAGAATGGCGATGTGGCTCACCAACCGGGCTTCTGTCTCTCTGTCTCCCAGGGGCAGAGAGAGAGCTCACACTCTCCGTCCATCGAGATGCTGCAGCCTGTGGAGGAGCAGAAGCTAAAGACCCTCAGGTCTCTGGGGAGCCCGGCATGAAGGTGACAGGAAGCACCGGCACCTCCCACAGCAGCAGGCAGGGATGGCAGGAGGGTGGGAGGAATTCTTTCCCCACCCCAGGGAGATCTGAATGCTCAGCCTTGGCTCCCACCATCCTGCTGTAGGGCGTGGGGGGACCCCGACTCCTGGGCTGCCAGCCTCACACCACTTCTCTCACCATGGCATTTTCTCTGCCAAAGCCGCCTTCTTCCGAGCAAAAGCTGGACCTGCAGCCAGAGCCCACCGTCACCTTCTTGTTTACACTCCTAAGCACGGAGGTGCCCACTGAGCCCAAAGACCCAGAAGAGTAAGGCTGTGTGGGTGCAGGAAGGGGTGGGGGCAGGGGGCACTTCTTCCCTCATTAACATTCAGACCTGGGCTGGGGGCGGGCAGCAGAGGCCCATTCAGGACTGAAAGAGCCAGGCTGGGCAGCCCCGTCCCCCATCCCAGCCTCTAGACCCCCTGATCCACCTCTCACTGCACACCCCAGGGACTTAGAGCTACAGGAGGGCGGGTTCCTGGATAAGGAAGACTGGGGGTCCCGGCGGACCTCCAAGGAGATCAGCCACTTGCTGAATGATTGCATGAGGTGAGCCAGGCTAGCGGGTGGGGGCAGGCGGGGTGACAGGGCTTTCCCTTGAGGACCTCAGGCCTGGGCTGGATGGCGGGGGTTTGCACGTTCACTTGCCCCTCTTCCTGCCTCTCACTGTTCCACTCCGATGTCCTCGCTGGCCTCCCAAGCATCAGCATCCTCGTACATGAGCTGGACCGCACACCTGGTTGCTTAGCAGTCTATAGGTCCCTGTAAGGAACCTCCACCTTTCATCATCCGAGCCTTGAGTCAGTTGTCTGTGGGGCGGGGGTCTGCTTCCTGGGTGTCAGGCTCTGGAGCTTGGGTCTGCGTAATCCCATGGCCGCTTGCCT